TGGTAATGGTTTATAGAGAAACCTTCCTCTGAAGGGAGAATAATAGTTCACTTTCAGAGACAAGTCTTCGCTGGAAGTGATGTAGCAGCCAGAGAGCTACATGATTAGAAGGTCAATAAAGCCTGAAACACACTCACGCAAGAATTAAAATGGATTTCAGGGTCAATAACACATCATCACAGCTATTATTTTTTAAAGCAATGAGCACTCATTACACATTTGCATGACTGCAGTGAATAATGAGTTCCTGTTGGTCATCTATAATGATCCTGCATTGTCTCACTTATGTAAATAAAGGTTATTCAAACAGAAAATTCTTTGGTGTAAAAAAATCTGCTACAGTCTACCATCTGATCACAAGACAAGACAACAGGGGGTTCATTTTGAACTTGTAGAGGCACTGACACAAGCAGATGCACACACACACACACACACACACACACACACACACACACACACACACACACACACACACACACACACACACACACTAACATTTACTCTAACCATTACATGTGTAGCCCCACTCTTATTATAACCCTAAACTTAAACCTGTATTAAGATGTTATTCTTGATAACTTGGGGGCAGAACTCCATGACAAGCTAAAGATCACAGCATGGAGCAACATTAATCTGGAGTCATGTTTCTATCCAGTTTACAAATGCAAGTCTAATATTCACATCTCCTTTTAACTCTGTTTTGGTCTCCACCAGCTCCTGAGGGAAATATCTGGATTGGGCTGACAAGTTTGTGTGCACATGATTACTTACCAACATTTTAACAAATGTCTGGTCAGATATATTGACCATATTATTTCTTACTTCTCACCCTGAATGGACCAGTACATAAGAACTGGTTTGTGTGGTGAAATCTTTTTTAATTCTTGAACACTCATGTTATGGGTTGATGAGTTTGAACTTATGAAGAGTTGCTACAACAAGTTTGCTGGATGCTTCAGTGTGTTCACTAGTTAGTCTCTAAGCAGTGATTCAGACCAAAAACAATTATGGGGCTGCGCTGGTGTATTTGGAATAACAGAAAAAGTACCATTTTATCTTTCATTTCAATGATCACAAGGTAAATTGGCATTCACGCTACGAAGTAATCTACCAGGAAAGTGTGATTGATCACTGCTAGGCCTTGCCAGATGACATGTCGCAATGCAGAAAAAGTTGAGCCTGGTTCAGGTTTTTTTTGCTGGAGCCCGCTGCGTTGGCGCCCCATGTTACACTGATTGACTGGCTCTATTCAAATGAATAAGAGGGTTGCATTTTTTCATGCTTGCCCAAGTTGTTCTGAACACATCTTAACTTTTTTCTTTAGTACTGGGAAGGTGGTTTACAGTGGGTTCCTCCCTCCAACAAGTCAGAAATGACGAAAACGGTCAGTTTGAAAGGTGCTAACTCGCTCTGCAGCAAAGTTGGATGATGATTCTCTGTGGTTTCCTCACTAAAAGACATTCCCCTCTGACCACATGTAGTCATTTGACCCATTGTTATTCTAAAAGCATTGATTAGTACAGCTTTAACCTAACTACGATCTAAAACAATAACCAAGTCTTAACATTGAAATGTAATGATTTACACACACACACACACACACACACACACACACACACACACACACACACACAATGGATTAAAGTAAAGTGTTAGTGGCAGGATTGTTCAGATGTTAAATCCCTGTGATGTTTGGGTGTGAAACAATCAGCGCTACAACAGAGCCATGACTCATCCTGTAACTGGAATCAGAGATGCCAAGTAATGGAATCATTCTTCAGAATCCGTCTGCATGGATTTATCACAGCTTGACTTCCACAATTACTGCCGTTGTCGTAGAATCCAGACGCCGCGTGACGTCGGCAACAGCTTGGTTCAGCCTGAACAGGCGTTGCTGTCGATGGAAATGTTTGCATTTCACAGCCTGGCGTACAAGTTTTAAGAAATTTATGAATCTCCTTCAAAAGTATAGTTCCTACTGGAGTCGAAGAGACATGGTGAAGGAAAGCTTAATATAAAACAACCACAGTTTCATGATATAAGCAATATACCACATTAACAGATATGTAGCAGAAGTGACATAAGAACAGGAGGAAGGATGAACGGAGGAGCTGTGGGACAATAGGAGTAAACAGGGGAGATGATTGTGGCTGCCTCGCTGCTATTTGGAGCTTTTAGTCACTATCCAGTTCATCGACTGGATCCAGACCCGCCAGCCAATCACAGAAGAGCGAGTCAGGACCTGAAGCCGCTTTTAGCTTGCAATCAACACCCTGCAGATGTTGTGACTGTGGGACACGGCTCACATACAGTAGACATCGGATAAAGTAAGCAGATGCCATTTTTCCTGCGTTCTAGCTACTGGTGATATAAGTTTCTCTAACCAGCCTGCAGGTACACGATAAAAATGTGAAGCCCTCTTTTTCTTTTTTCTTTGTTTGTTTTGTTTTTCTTGTTTGACAGATAACAGTTTCTGCCTTTGGCAAGAAATGTGAGAAAATACTGTAAAATCAGACTGAATTTATGAAGAAAGTGTGTTTTTTCTTGATGCCCAGCTTTTGGTTTGTACCGTGTAAAACTCCCAGCATGCTCCTAAATATCTGGAGAGGAGTTGCTCATGAGCCCCGCAGAGGACTATCAGTTTGTTGACAGCAGCAGTGCCGGGGGTATAGATGACTGTTGCTGTTTCTATCTCCTAAATCTCCCTGAACATTGTTTGTGTGACAGGTGTGTGAAATCTGTGAGGTGGCAGTGTCAATCAACATCAACACTCCTCAGCAAAGTCCTGCAGAAATGCTTTTTTGCGATGCAGCTCTTGTTTTTAAACTTTAATCTTCAACTTCTACAAAATTGATCAGAATCTAGTCCGAATATGTGCGCAGAAGAAGAAGAAGAAGAAGAAGAAGAAGACACCATGGGATGAACTAATAATGGTCCAGCTGCAGACAGAAGATTGTTCTCTGCTGGATATTAAACTGCTACAACACTTTCCTGGGAGCTATTCCCAGCACTCCCTAATGAAAGCAATCACACAAAGCAGAGAAAAACACTAGGTGAAACATATAAAAAGTAATTCTAACTGGTGCGACGTCTTAAAATTGTTAGTTTTTCTACACTCACTGCAACATAACAAGTGTTACTAACATTACACTTTGTTTTCTTATTGAGAAAGCTGGGTATGTTTGTCGACTTCATATTAGATTTAGATTCAGTTTACATTTTTCTCCACTCTAAATCCAATCCATATCTCCGACATGAAAAGTCTCAATTTTAGATAATTGGTTACAGTGTTAATATGTTACTCTAATACGCAGAGTCTTGCCTGAGGCGCAAATAAGACAAACAGTAACGAAAACGATTCATCATACATAAACTAACTGTATCTGTCACATTATGTGGAGGCGAGACCTTGATATATGAGTGCAAATTTATTCAGTGTGATTATTTTTTTAAATTTGTAAAGGATCAATTTAACTTGCCATTTTTAATCTGCTCTGACAGCACTTGTATAATGAAAAGTTTCATGCGTCATTACAGACTTTTCTTATGGAGGTTTTGAACAAGCAAAGACGAAAAAAAAAGGGAGTGAGAGGAATTCTAAACGTCCAACAGACACTGTGATATGTTTGCCAAGGTGTAACATTGAGTTTTGGTGGAGACTGTGTCAGAGAGGTTTTGATTCAACTGTGGCAGTTTCTGAAGCTGCCATTTTTGGGGGTGTAAACTGTGCTGTTTTATAAGATGCAGCCAACTAATATTTCCACTATAAGCAAAAAGGAGAAGCATCCTTTAACATAGTGCAGTCCAGTAACTACAGCCTCAAGAAACTGAGCAATGCAAAGCTTCACAGAGGTGACATGAATTCCTTTGTCTCTGTACTGGATCGTATTGTACAGTGGTTGTTTGATAGGTCTTGTTGACCTCTAAAAAAATTTTTTTTTGCAGAAAATATCCACTTATTTACTTGTGATGGATGAATTTCCTTTTTTTTTTTGCCTCATTCAATTTTACCAGCTGCCTTCTACACACAGTATATCACAGCAAATTATTATGTTGACATTCACAAAGCATTTTAACAACACATCGGATGATAGATTTCTTCACACCCAGCAAGTGTGTGGCCTAAGACAGTGGCCAGTGGGTCTGTAGCCATGCATCACCAGACAGAATAAGGCCATGTCAAGCAAACTGAGGTGAAGGACATTTTAGAGAAAAGTAAGTCGATTCAAACTATTCAGCTGTGTATGTGGAGCACAGGTGGGCAATCAGACAGCAGCATATTGCCCGGTGGCTTTATCCTCCCCGGGTTGACAAGGCAAGTCATTTCTGAAGCTGTGGGCTTCACCCTGGGGAGCTGACATCCAGGCTGGCCGGGAGCAGAGCACAGCAGATGCTTTGACGGAAGGAGGAAAGATGTAAAACGATGCAAGGATCAAGATGTGACCCAGACAGGAAATACTGACAGAGGATGTCACTTTTTCATTTAAAATCTTTTACGGAGAACCTTTTTTGAGTAGCTTAAAGAAAAGAAAAAAAACCCCACATTTAGTTAATTGAATTGAATCAACATTTAGATTATGACTATTGGTAGAAAAATGAAAATGAGAGGAAAATCTCTTTGTGTGGAGTCATCTCTCCTGGATTTAACACTTACTACTGCTCTTCATATCTAGCCAGAGAAAATACAGGTCTTCTTGTCAGTTTAAATAAATGCTCATACTAAAATGCCAGTTTTCTGTCTGAATCAATAGGTTGAATTCTGTTCAATCAAACTGATTTCTATAATTAGTATAATATTAAACTATAGAAATAAGTGGTTTGAATAGCTCTTTGGAAGGGTGTAATTTTAGTTTCTGAATGCCTGGCAGAGGGGGTTGTGAAGACAATATCCATGGTAGAAAAATAGACCTTAATTATGAGGAAAACTTTAATTACATAATGAATTTATTCCAATTAACAAGATACATGGCATGTTGGGCTTTTCTCCATCGCCCACGCAGACACTCACACAGTTATCACCAGGAAATCCAGAGAATTACACGGATTAATATATTGCATATTGTATGCAAAAACACATACAACATACAGAACATCCTAAACATCATTTCTCCATTGCATTAGCAATATGAGAGGGTTCAATTAAGCAGCAAATACGAGGACTTTGCCATTAACATGACAAAAAGGATGCTGCTTGACATATGGTGCTCCATCTACTGAAATTACAACAGTGCTTGACTGAATACTTTATAAACAAAGAGGCTTAAAACGCACTATACCTCTTGGAGATGAATGAGTCTTTGTTATGAAATTAGGTGAACACCTGTGAGCTTCAGTCACCAGCAGGGTTCAGTTACCTCTTACATGGCGACTGTTCCTCTGAGGTTTATCTAAGTAGCCTACCAATATGAAAAAGAGGGGCTGTTTTAGGCAGTTGGTCATCGCATTGTCTCCCATCTGGCTCCATCAGAAGAGGTACCATAATGTAAAGGTCCTCATCAGTCAGTAGGCTCCAACAATAACTGCCTCCGTTTCTTTGGACGGTCTCCTGTCCGTTACCAAAAAGTTTATCATCCCCTCTGACTTTATGAGAAGGTTGCAACCCAAGAAAAATATGCCAAACACCACCGTGAGGGACAGCACGCACATGACGGCTATCTGGACCACCCTCATGATGAAGAGGCTCCTCTCATCCGGAGCGGCGGCCACAAAGCCATTATCAGTCACCACGGACGAAAAGTTGCAGCAAAAAAACTCCTCTGTCTTATTGATCAGTCCGCCCTCCGTTTGGTTGAAACCGGTGTTATTCATTTCCACTTTTGTTTGTAGTCTTTTTTTTTTAAATCAAACTTTCAGTGCGAGAGACGTGAAAGGCGGAGAGGGAAAGACGCGCCTGGCACGATCCCAGAGAAATTGTCATCAAGTGGAAAGTAAAGACGATGAGGCGGCGAGTTGGAGAAGTTCCGTCAAATCAAGCAGCGCTCTTCTGGAGTTTAACAGGCTGCTTTGGCATCGCATTACTGGAGGTTTCATGTGCTCTGTAGCCAGTTTCTAAGCGGAGTGAATCCACCAACCCGCGGTTAAATAGCCAGACTGTACCTGCCTGCGTTACACCGTTCAAGTGACAGGACAACACGGCAAGAGCGCCACCATACGACCAGACTGCACGCGCATGTCCAGTACATGGTGTACTGTGTTTATTATGCATGTTTGTGTGTATGCAGTCTGCTGCAACAGCCCATCTATCTATCTTTCTTTCTTTCTTTCTATCTATCTATCTATCTATCTATCTATCTATCTATCTATCTATCTATCTATCTATCTATCTATCTATCTATCTATCTATCTATCTATCTATCTAGCTATCTATTATTGAACCTTTAAAAACTCCTCATAATTTTGTAAAATTACACTAATTCAGCCGTTTATATGTGTTGTCACTAATGATAACTGATCAGTGTCACAGTCTTGTGCTCTAAATTAGTCAGATTTTGAATCATGAAAACAAATAAATGTCTATCCATTATTATAATTAGTCATAATTTCACCATAAGACTATGCCTTGCACATCAAAGCAATGCAAGTTCATCACCTGTTTCTTTTTTTTAACTTTGCTGCACATTTTTCTGGCAGCTGCTCAAAGCCATGACATGAAAAAGTTTTCCTCCCTCTCTGAAACTTTAGAGGAACCAGGACATGCACTGACATCTAGTGGAATCTGATGTGGACACAGTGAATAGGGTTAGGGTTAGTGAAGTTAAATTCATATCACAGTGCACAGACTGCAGCGTTAGCTGTTGCATCATAGTTGGGTTGAGTGAAATAGCAATAAAAGCTTGAAAGAAGGCACTTTGCAGTCTGTTGCTGTGGGTGATTGAAAGAACACTCAGGCTTATCATGATTTGCTGAATGTTAATTAAATGCTGGGCTCAGATTTGATCTACTACTACATTGCCCAGAGGCCAATGCAACACTGGAGGCCTCTGATCAGTAGCAGCAGATGGCAGCATTGTTCAACATGATTTACCTAAGGCCTGTGATGTCTGCTACACAACAAGTCAATCTGCATATTTGAGTTAATTGGTCTGAAGACACACACATACAGGTAGGTAACCTGTGGGTGATCATTATGCTGCTGATTTATTTAACCTCTGCATGGGTGTAAATTACTTAACTCAATCTAGGTTCTTCCCCTTGTTCATAATGTGAAAACAAATAGTCTGAAGATTTACTGGATAATTCTTGTATGCATAATGATGGTCAAATTTAGCACTCAAAACAGGAAGTCATAGAGTTTTCATAATAAAATGCTGTATGATTTGTATTAGTCTACACAAAGAGAGAGATGACACAGGGGGTCATAATCTGATGTCACTGTATTATGGTTGGCTTAAGATAAATGAAAGGCAAAATGTATATGCAAAGTTTGATTTAATGGATTAATCAGTCTAATTAGATTTAATCTCAAAAATACAACAACTTTAAGCAAAAGTAAACTTTTATGAAGCAAGAAACTGAAATAAAAGTGTAAATGCAACTAAAAGGGGAGTTCTGAGACGTTTGATATATTTTCAGTCAGAAAAATCAAATTAACAACAAACAGGACAACAACAACAACAACAACAACAACAACAAAAAACCTTCAACACAGTTACGCTGATGTTTTTGTCTCTCTCTTGGGAGTTTGTATGAATTTCTGCATTAAGCCTACTTCTGGCTAATTGGAAACAATAATAAAACATTCTAAATAAAATGTATTTTGCACGTATTACTGTAAGTATTATTATTATAAATACATATTATTTTTCACGTATTAGACTAAAATGACTAAACTGAACGCTACACACAGTGTTTTACCTGTGGTGGTGATGGTGGTGAGAGCTTCTCTACAGTCAACGCGCCTACATTTACCAGACGCCGGTGACGCTCGACTTCAAAAGCGTTTCATGACGGACGTCGCTGTCAGCCAATCAGAGAGGGGGAACGAGACATTTCCAGGTCGCTCTCAGCTGAGGTTAGATTGTGCTGAATATTATCTCGCCTGTCGTCTTACCGTTATAATATTCAGTCGGAGAACAGGTGCGCGCTGAGAAGTGGTTCTACGTTGACCGCATCGGCGTCTAAACGAAAGGGGGACAATTCCTGGGGACGGTTCGCGTTCGCCGGTTTACTGCGGCGTTGAGGACAAATCATATCAGTGAGTCCAAACAGGTACCACGAGAGGTATAGCTGGACGGTCAGTATCACGCCGGATTGTGGACTACTCTGTGCTGAGATGGACTGTGACTTAAGTGTCATTTTGAGACGTTGACCATTTGCAGGAGCAATTTACCCAGTTCAATTCTGCCGCTAACTGTACTGCACTGTAGCCTATATTGGGTCATGTTGTCTGCGTTCAACACGTTGCCTGAGAGCGAGGCTGGATCAGGTCACTGGTTCACTCCATCCATAATTTAGGTAAGCAAAGAGTATCCTCGTTTTCTGATCCAGCACCACACCTTCCATTGGTAAAATCATGCCACGGTCTTTTTTTGTTTTTGTTGTGCTGTACACATCACAACACGTAACGGTGATCACAATGATGCTGGGATGATGATGCTTTTATTTTGACATTACGTTTAATCAAGGTTACCGTGTGTTGTATTTGCATAGCATCAGTTGAGAATGATTGTTCGTTGGTCAACTGCTGTTGTTAGTGTTTTTTCGTCTTATTCCGGTCAAATCCCATAATTTATAAATCAATATATAATGTACATGCACATGAATGAAAGATGGATAGAGCGTGTGTGTGTGTGTGTGTGCGCACACATATCACACCTTTAAATCACCTCAGTGAGAATTATGAATGTAATATTTTGTATTTTCTGATGGTCAAGTGTGTCACAAGCCTTTAAAGAGCACACCTACATATTTTTGTGTTGTTTTGGTTATAAAACAAGCTTCAGTCATTGGCCTAATGGGCTTATTGGGATAAGCTCTATAATCACCCGCTGTTCCTGGTAGGGCTAGGTATAGATTGGCATTTTTCAATACTCATGCCAATATGATACCTAAATTTTGGCACTGCTACCAAAAAAAATACTTTTTTTCAGTATTTTAAGTTGAGGAACATTTTTTCCCCCTACAAAACTCAGTGTCTATGGTTGTATAGTACATTTTCACCTCAATCACTCAATGCTAATTTTCAAGTCTTGTCAGGTTTCAACACCTGGTGCCACCGACACAATTTGCATGGCGCTCACAAAGTATTGATGTTCGATACTCAGCTCTACTTGCTGCTTGTCACAATGGAGACGCAGGTGGTGTTTGCGACTGGAGGATTGCTGGTTTGAATCCCTAGCTGGACTGGTCTGAGTGTGAATGACCTCTCTCTAGCTCTGCCTTGATGTACCCATGTGCAGCTCTCTTTGACCGCAGTCAATCCGTCAGTGGTCAGCAGCAGATGACTATGGTTTTGCCTCGGCTGCTTCAGAGAAAGTTAATGAGTGGGGGTGGAGGAAAAGGAGCACTCAAACCTTGCCTTTTCTTTCAGTTGGCCGTCATACGTTTTCTTCTCATGTTACTGTTATGGTTTCAGTGTCAAGTGTTGATCCGTGTCATGTCCAATTATGTTACTGTAAAAAAAACAATTGGTTACCAATAAAAACACTCCTGTTAAATGGTTGAGGAATATGTTATTCAGCTCATAGCCAAGCACCAGACATTTCACAACAAAGAGTGTTGTTAACAACACAATTAACTGTCACTTCAAGAAGCAGTTAATAATGCCTGGTGGTTTACACTTATCTTTAAAGGCCCGGTAAAAACAGCGGCTTTGTCAAAGCTGGAGAGACCTGTTTATAGAGCAGTGCACAGCAGATAGGAAATATTCATCTGTGCAGATGGTTGGACTAATTGACTCAGACTTCTAGGTGCCGAGACTCCAGCAAGCTGCCGGTAGCACCGTTGGTGGCACCAAACCCAAACATGCCTCAGCCACTGACGCACAAAAAAGCAGATGGTTAGAGATGCAAACAGACATCATAAGACAGACTCATCATTGATCTGTCTACGATGTGAATGGAGGTGATATGCTGCAGACAGACTTGGATTTCCGCCTGTTTTACTGAGACCATTTTGTTGATCGCACTCATTATCTGGGGGCCAAGACTGCATCCATGGATTTGGCTTAGAAGTCTGTGAATGGTGTGTAAATTCACTGAAATCATCTGCTGCACTGTGGTCTGAGTCTGAAGCTGTGAATGCAGCTGGACAGAGACTGCCTTGCTTGTGAATGAGATAAGAGTTAGCCCAGGGCAGCAATGTCAGACCCTGTGATGGACATTTAGACAGCGAGCTGAGAGGACAGTGTGTGTGTGTGTGTGTGTGTGTGTGTGTGTGTGTGTGTGTGTGTGTGTGTGTGTGTGTGTGTGTGTGTGTGTGTGCATGTGTGCGTGTGTGCGTGTGTGCGTGTGTGCGTGTGTGCGTGTGTGCGTGTGTGTGTGTGTGTGGAGTGCAAAATCATTACCATGCTGCATGTGAAAGATAAGGAAATCTGTCAGATTGCCCACAGGAAAAGCTGTAGGCTTTCTCTACTTGTAAAAGCAAAGGGTAAGGTTAGTTATTATTCATACATGCATTAGCAGTTATTTTTAGTATAATATGTGTAATCTTTTGAGCATATGTAACCACTGGCTTTCACTCATGTCATGTGCCACAACATCTTAGGTTAAAATCAAGCTGTGAACCTTTAACCTCTCTTATACTGATTGTACTACACTGTGTGCTGTTTGTTGTAACCTGTATTTTTGTTATGGGTGTCTAAAATGCTACTGGCTACTTGTGTATTTGATTCTCTTTGCCTGAAAGCCCCCCCCCCCCCCATCACTCCCATTCCATTCTCATTATACTTTCATAAGCCTTTCAGTCAACAAAAACCTATAATTTCAGTCAAGTAGAAATCCTGTTTGACAGAAAATGATGTTGTGTGTGTTTTTTTTTAATCAGAAATATTGTGAGTCACACATCCCAATGAGCCAATGAGATATCTAACCTCCACAAATTGCCTCTGGTATGAAAGCCTCCCAGATGGTTTTAGCAGCACTGCTGATGAAGTGGGAGAAGTCTGGAGAGGGGAAATGAGCAGTCACTCATCCTTTCAAATGGAAAATGGTCTGGGGTCAGTCCAATGTTGGAAGCTGGGTGTGACCTCCACTGCACCACCATAAAGCTGTGTGTGTGGTCACCAGAAAACACTGACAAGTTTGTTTTTAATCTGTCCCACTTAGTACATATCGTCACAACTAGGGACACATCAATCCATCTTTTTCTCTTCCTGATATGATTCTGATACCTTGACTGCCAATATTGATTTCTGATCTGATGCCGGTGCTTGTCTTCTTCTCAGATTTGAGAGCTGTTTGCTATTCTGTGTTGGAACTCACTGAGATCATTTTTAACATGATGCCAGGGATTGCTGTGGCACTACAAACTGAGTTTGCCAGCCGCCAGGACTAAATGACTGTAATTGATAGTGGACGCTGGAAAAATGTCATGATTACACTGACAGGACAAAACTGCTCTTAATGTGGATCTGTCACGTCTGGCCGATATCAGATCAGCTCAGTATGGTCAGCAGCGGCCCGGATTACGATACGATCAGCACGTCCTTGTTCACTGCTCTTAAAAAAAACAAAACAAATTTAATTTATTTTTTGGGCACTTTGATGCCTTCATTACAGACAGTGGAGAGAGATGATGAAATGGGGGAGAGAGAGATGCAACAGAGGTCTCTGGCCAGACTCAAACTGCGGAGGTTGCGGTTCATGGTTGAACCCTTGAGTTCCAGAGGACGCACTGTATCACAGTATCTGCTTGGACGTGTTGTCTCCCCACAGTGTGTCTGTCTAATTTATTTCAGCTTTTGTGTAATGTCACTGTTACGGCACCATGTGTTCTGGGTGTTTTTGTCCTTTCCCTGTCCTGTCTCCCCTGCAGCTCCGCCCAGGCTGTTCTTGATTACTCCATGGATGCACCTGGCCTGAGCAGGAAGGCTTTAAAAGCTCTGGTGCCAGCATCAGAAGGGCAGAGGCTTGTAGCATGGGGACTGCCGGGTTTGCTGCCTCTCAGCCTGGGGCTTTTGTTGTGTTCTGATTTTTGTCTCTTTTTTTTGTCTTAATTAAATGTCCTGGTCATTTTGCATATTTATGTTAAATAAACCCTTTGTTATTTTAGAGGTGTCTTGTGAGTCTGATCTGGGTCACTGGTGGAGTGTTGTGCGCCCCTCAGGGCCACCTAAGGGTGGTGTGTAACATCACGTTGCACTATTAAAAAGTAGAATAAACAGATGGAAATATGCCAAGTAATATCTGATTGTGTAGAGCCGTGAAATGCATTAAGTGAAGTCTGAAGGTGATTACTGAGGCAAATATTGATCTACTTTGAAAGTAGTTCCTCACACATTTTGCTGAGATCACATATCTTCATAAGTTGATTGTTTTTCATCACGAAGGCTTAAATATTTGTGATGCTTTATGTTGTCATTAGATTTATGTTAATTCCATTTTCTTATGTTTTCTCTCTCCCCTGTAGGATGACGCCTCTCAGTCAAACCTGCTCGGTTTCTCACGTCGTCTCAAGAGTTCGAACAGTTTGTCAGCAGACTCCTGAGCGCTCACTGTGACCCTCCCTGTTTGGCTGCCCGGCCGACATCCCGGGGAGGTGATGCGACGGTTCGTGTACTGCAAGGTGGTGTTGACCACCTCTCTGGTGTGGGTGCTGGTGGATGTGTTCTTGCTGCTCTACTTCAGCGAGTGTAATAAATGCGATGATAGGAAAGACCGCTCGCTGCTTCCTGCCCTCCGAGGTGAGTCCAGATCAGTGCTGCAACACCTTTCGTTCACAGAATAGACGTCAGTAAAGGTTCAGGAGTCCATGAGATATGAGTTACACAAAGTCTCAGACTGGACTGCTTCATCCGCTCTGCCTTTCCTACTCCCTGTGTCTTTAAGCTTTAATGGTAACTGTGACATTTTTCACTTCATTTGTCCTTGAAAATGAAGATTCTGTGGAAGTTGTTTAGTGGGTGGATTTTAAGAGTTTCCCTGAGGAAAATCTTGAAATTTGGATTTCAAGGGCGTTAGCAGCTATTCAAAGGAAATGATTTGGATGATGATGATTTGATATGGTTTTCCATTTGTCATGTTAAATGGAGTTAATCCAAAACCACCTTGAGAAATTGTAGTTTTTTGCATCTGTAATAACTTTTTTTAGTTTAATTTCTCAAATGAAATCAAATTATAATAATATCTTCGTTAGGCATATTTGCAAGTGTGTGTCCTAGAGAGAGAGAAATTGGAGTTCCTAAACTCATGCTTAAGGACCATTACATGGTTTTGCATGTTTTTGACAATGACATTACAAACCACTCCATGTTTCTGCACATGCTGCACAGACAACTACTTCTAGTATACATCCTCTACCCTTCCTTTTGTATGACATGTCTCTTTATCACTGTGTGCTCATGCAGCTGAAAGCGCAGCCTGATTTGAGGCACACAATGAAAAAGTAATTTTGACAAAAAATAAATAGAGACTCTGCAAAGAGATTTTAATGTTGTACTGAATCCAGGAGCACACAGAGGCCTGCACTCTTGAAAAAAAAGTGGGCCAGGCATGTTTTAGCTTTTAGGTAGTACTTCCTCTCATGACATAATGAAAACCTAATCAAAGTAAGTACAGGATTAATGTCTATTTGCCAAGCAATCAGTGTTTTGCAGTGGATGAAGTGAGATTCAGACAAGCTGTAGGCTTGTACAATGGTCATGATGTTGTTAATTAGAATTAAAAATAAATCACAGAATATCTACAGTTCTTGAATGTACCAAAGAACAGGTTTCTGCCATATTATCAAATTAGGGAACATGCACTCGGTTTTCTCTTTAGGCAATCTGTGTGTACCAATGTATTTTGAAGATTATGAGCCATCTTAAAAAAAGAGTTTTAAGAAATTTCCCCATATTGTAGGTTTACTGAATTTGATAACCCCATTTTATAAGTGAGGCAACAGTTGACTGACAGTTACCCTTTTTGTTTTGATCTCGGCAGTTTTGATCTTGGAGGCTCTGCCCTTTGTTAAGGTTCACTCAGCCATGTTTGTGAACATAAGCTGTAGACTTAAAAAGTTCCCTCTTTTCACCTCAGTGTTAAACATAATTATCATCTGTCACAAATCCTATTACCACGATGAAGATGACTAATGCAAGAATAAAAAAATGCAAATTTGCAGTTATTCATTTAAAAAATTGCAAAACACTGTAATGATTCTGAGACTCTTTCAGTGTAGTGAACCTCTATCTCTAATTTGATTGCATTAAGATTGATTAATTTACCTTTGTTAAGTTTAAACCAGTGTGTGTGTATGTGTGTGTGTGTGCGTGCTTCTTGAGATCAACCTAAACCACAATACTGCTTTAGCAGAGTTCATTTCCTCACATGCCCTCAAGTAAGCAGGTTTCTAAGAGGCTTGCTAAGCTGCTTTTAAGGTTCGAATGAGGCAGAGCTGCCAGCTACTGAGACTGATTACCATGCAAAAGTCTAATGTTACACTGCTTACAAAGTAGATGATTTGCTTAATATATGATCTTGAGTGTTGAGAATTCTTTTTCATTCCCTGGTTTTGCCAGAATTACAGAAGCATTTTTGTAAGGTCACTCTATGGGTATTATTATTCAGTTATTGCTTGTGTACTCAAAACGTTACTGTTATATTTTAGATTAGATACAATAAAAAAAAAAGAAAGAAAAAGAAAATCATTAAAAATGCCACACAAGCTATTAACAAACATTTTAATACGTATATATTAGCATGAAGATTGAATTGCAGTCATGTTTCTGGCCACCTGACAACAACTCAACCCACAACCAACACTCACTTTCAGTGTAGCTCTGTCTTTAACTTACTTGCATTAACAGATTTTTTGGCCCCTTGGAGGCAGCACAAACAAGTTGTAAACACAACAAACACAACATTGTCATATAATTGCCTTATAAAGTTGTTATGGCGAGCTTGTTAGCACACAATTGCCTATTTACACATCCAGCAGACACATTAGCATTCAGTTGGAGTTGCGTTTCTGTCCACTTGATAAATGTAATTCTGATATTCACTCTGCATTCAGCTCTGTTTTGTGGTCCTCCTGAGAGAAATATCTGTCCCTTAAGCTACAAAACGCTCCACTGCGTTCCCAAAACGCCGAAAACAGCTGCCTGTGACATGTAGAACCGATGCTGATGATGATAGTAGTGAGACTGAACTAAAACGGCAAGTTGTGGGCATAAAACCAAAACAATGAGCTAAAAGATGCTGAAACGCTTCATAGATCGTTTTGTCTGTTTGCTGTTTGGTGCTGGGGTTTATAAGCTTGTAGGGGATTTATCAGAGCTTTTTTTTTTTTTAACTGGGAATGCCTGCATTCAGTGGTATGCCTGAGTTACTATGGGGCTGTTAAACCATAGAGAAATAAGATTAAATGTTAATATCAGTCATTTTGATTGATGCATGTTTAAAATGAATTCAAAGTCACTTAGCTTTGGGCTGACTTGCCCAAAGTTGCAGTATGATTTAATGGTTTGTAGTCAGTTTCTCCTCTATTGAATCTGTGTTGCACAAGGAGTCAGTGATCCCATGTTGGTCATTACCAGGTCGATAATGACCCTTTAAAGAATGTTTGTCATAAATTCCTGATAAGAGCAGGCACTTGACTCATGTCAGAGGTTTTCAGTTTGACCAGTCAACTTTATGGCCAGTCACTGCTGTCCATTGTGTTTACTTTGGATTTTACATTTGAAAGGATGTTGCATAGGCCACATGTAGGCACAGATTCTCGGCCACAGTGTAAACATATTCATTCCTCTGTTCTTTTTTGCACCACAGTCTGGTTAATTTAGTGTTTTGACGAAACCGCACAAGAGGAGTTTTGTTTTAAAAGTTTTGTTTTAAAAGTTTTGTTTCGAAGCGGTAACTCCAACAGTTTCGTAGTGCACTTCCATAAAGCTGGTGGATTTGGGAGACAGGTTAAAAAAAAGGAAAGCACAGTCCGAGATATCCTTACTTTAATCCCCAGTATATGTCAAGTTCCCAAAACACTGCATTGCAACTCAGAAGTGTCTTTTCATTATATGGGTTTCAAACATCTTTCAAACTCCACACAGACAGTTTGTATAGAAAACTTTCTGTTCCGTCTTTTCTCAATCTCAACCTGAGGTAACCCTGATGACATCGTCTGGGTTATTTTCTAAGACTTGAGCAAGCAAGCTCTCTTTAGAGCCACTTTAGATGTAATATGACAGTTTCCGCAGGCTGAGTAGCACTCATGATGAGTGACCTGACTCTTGTGTAAAATCACTTTAATATTAACACAGCTTAGAAAAATTCACCTGCTAAACTTTCCGATGAATCCTTCATAAGGTATTGATTTCCATCCACGACTGACTGTAGTGGGAATGTGTAAAAACTCGTCCTTCTCTTAGACATATTCTAGTTGCTTTTTTTTTTTTTTTTTTTTTTTTTTTTTTTAAAAGAGAGAGCACAAACCATGTATTACACTGGACCCAGATTGTGTTAACTACTACTGTTAACTATTAAATACTGTTAATCATCTTTAACTGTTAGCAGTTTTATCATTTTTAAGGAGAGCAGAGCAGTTTAACAACTTTCAATTGTGAAACTTCTTAAAAACTACCACTGGAATTTGTTTGTAAATAAACGTTAATTAATAATATAATAGATAGATAAAGAATAGATAAAGTTAATCAAAGTTACTCTAGTTGATCAATGCCATGTTTGGTCATTTGTTTAAATGGATGTTTTGGTGAAATACTGTGGTAAATGTTTCAGTACGTTTAGATTTTTCTCTGTATTTTAAAATAAAATGTTACAAAATGACCAGTTGATGGGTTTATAAAGATTAAATGAATTTGAATATTTTCATTATTTTCCACATTATGAATGTGATGAAAATCTTGCGAGCTGATAGAAGTATCGGGACACTCAGATGTCTTAGGCAGAAGCGTTTATTGAGGCTCAGTCGAGGAGAATAGAGATGAGCAATACAAGTTAACACTGTGTAATACCACCCAATTCTGAAGGTCATCTTCCTTACAGGGTGAACTCAAACCCATACAACACTTACTGCATATTAGAATAAGGATATTCTTCATGGGACCACAGCACCCATACATGTGAAGATTCCACTGGACAACAAATCCTAAACGTTATATAACCTAAGTCATGTTGTCTTTTTCGTGTAATACCTCTGTCCTCCTCACGGGAAGACTGTGTGCGTTACGTGACCCTGAAGGGCACCAGTATGACGACCGCTCCCTAGACCGGAGGCTCGGCCCATCATATCTTTACAACCTTGGTTGTTATGACAACTGCCATTGGGGACTGGGCCAGCTTGATTCTGTCAGTGTCTTCACAGCTATCCTTGAGACAGACAATGAAGTTTTGCTTTTCGGCAATACTTTTTATTACTAAGAAGTGACCTGTGGAAACACTGCCGAATAAATTTCCCTCAAAACATGAAGAAGTGAAAAATTCCTTCAGAATATATGAATAGTGTGTTTTCACGACCTGGTGGCAAAGCTTTTCCTGTAAAGTGAGATGAAAGTAGCTGGACGATGTTTGTTGCCAGGAGATGAAGAACTCAGAGCACAATTTGCATCCAGATTAGTGTCTGAGTCCACCTTGACGAGAGGAATCTTGAATCACGCGAACATGGATCAAAGCAGCTGGCAATCATAAAGACATTTCAATAGTGAAATAGCATAAAGCATAGACATGTTTTTTTTAGAGAGTTGTCCAAATGATGATCTTATACATACATGATGGACAAAGACACATGAAATCTCAGTGATCGTGTCTCAGAGGACTCATGACCTGTGAGTGTGAGGCGAACCTTTTCACTGTAATTGCTTGGGATAAAGCTGCAGGCAGGGACACTGAATTAGATTGATTGACCTGAGGACGGACAGAGCCACTGTTTTCTTCACAGATGATTGTGGCCATCTTTTTTATAATGAATCGTCTGTGTCAGGAGGAGATTGTGACGGGCTTGAAAAAACACCACAGAGAGTTTGTTTCCTATAGCTTCTCTGATCTGTGTGTTGCTAAACAAAATCAGATTTATTTAAATGTTTCTAGCCTTGATATTTAATCTGAGTGTTTGTATCATTTAATAGATGAACACTGAAACCTTTGGAAAGTACTTTGGCACAGTGGTGCTTTGTGCTAAATGCTAATGTCAGCATGCTAACATACTCACAATGACAATGCTAATATGTTGATGTCTAGCCGTTACAGTATTAACATTCACCATCTTAGTTTAGTTTCTGAGGGTTATGCAGATATTTAGTCATAAACCAAGGTATTGGATAAAATAAATGCAATTATTGACCTGGTGATGGTGCTAGGAGGGAAAAGTCAGGGGATCAACAAAGTGATTACAACTCGTCTTGTTAGGCCTGTGAACATTTGTACCAAATTATAGCAAAACATCCAAGAGTTGTTATTCAAATCTTTCACTCAAAACTACAAACATCAGCCTCATGATGACGCCGGAGGAAAAGTCAAAATCACCAGAATCGTTGGGATTCATCGTCTGGAAACCATGAATGTTGGTGCAAAATTCAATGGGGATCCATGTTATAGTTGTTGAGGTATTTCAGTCTGGACCGACACTGAGATTCCTAGAGCCACACTGTTAGCATGTCTATAAAGATAAAAAGGTATTTAGGGTGAAGAAGGAAAGATCAGTAGCTGAAGAAAACTAAAGTAGTCTCTGCAGATTCACTTCAGCAGAAATGGAAAACATCCTGTTTCATTTTTTACAAGGTTTATACAATGTTTAATGTGAACCATATTATTTCAACGTAGTATTCACAGTTATGTTCGGCTGTTGCGTTTATCACATCGGGGTTTATCCATGCTTGAAAAATATGAATTTGTCATTTTAGAAGCTTCAAATTGTAACAAAGAGATGAAATATTGTGCTGTGGTTTGCCTTGTTATTTCTAGGCCTGAGGACTGTCTCCTACAACATTCACAAAGTATTCTCTCTGATTGTTCTCATCTGACAGCACTGTTCCACATCTTATTCAGTGGTAATCCTTTTTTTATAGTCAGATTAAAATATGTATAATCTCGATTCTTTAAACGATGTGTAGGATTAGACTGTTATCTCATGGCGGTGCAAATAAATTGAAGCCGACTCAGACGGGTGTTGATGGTTTGCTGGATGTTTTGCTCGTACAAGATGTTTCCTGAACATTCCTGATCTGAGTTTTATCTGTATAGAGTGATTGGTTGGACAGGCTGAGCATGTGTTTGACAGATACTTTGTTCAATCATCCAGCTCAGCTCCCGAGCTGCGTCCATCAGATTTTAGGCCAGCGTCCAAATGGAGAGTGTCAGCAGCAACCATAAAGAAAAGAGCAGGAGGCTCTCAGTCCAGCCGACACCAGCCCGTCTGCGAGAGGGGTCGTACGGAATCCTCTTAACTTGGAGCTGTGCAGCTGATAGGGACTGTGCGCCCCCTTTTCATGAAAATCACTGCCTCTGCTCTGAGAGATTATTAGAGAGAGAGAGGGGGAGAGAGAGAGAGAGAGAGAGAGAGAGAGAGCACATTCATAAATCCATGGGAGGTTATTTACCTACGGTGAAAGGAGCGGGCTCTGTGCAGCAGCGACAACAAGAGCAGCAACGGCAGTGCTGATGTTTTGCAGGCATTTCACTGTAGGAACATGTAGCAAAAGAGACTGTAGCAACCGCAGCAAGGATTTTGCTTTCATACACCTTTTTTTCATCTATTAATACATTCTCCTAAATCTCGGAATTCAAAAAATCCTAATAGATTAAATTAAAATTAAATATAGCTGCCACACTGTACAGCGCTTAATACCCAGTCAGCTCAAGCCACAGCAACCAGGAGAGAGCTTAAGCAGAGCCCCTGCACTGTCTGTATTAAATGTCTTGCGCTGTTTTTCACATCCTCTGATGTGTGATGTAGCATTTTTTTTCCCCCCCAGACTGTAATAGTGCAAGTAAGAAAGCTATTACATTTTCTAGGTGTGTGATGTTATAAAGTGTAAGCAGACAATACCATACTCTTTATATGTTCACATCCCATACAGAAGCCTCTAGTGCAAAAAATGCTGTTAAAACGCAGAATACCAGTTTGGTACATGCACACTGATCTGGAAAATGATGTTTTGTGCTGTGGCTTTTTACAATTAGAGAAAATTACACTTTGCAGAACTCAGCCTGAAGAGAAAGATAATAAACCCTGCATGTGTGCATCTTACCAGGGCCAGATGCTATTAGTACAAAAGGGATCACTGACTGTTTCCTTTGTCATGGACTAATTTAGATTAGAAAAGATAATCTTTCCTGCTTAGAGCAGCAGATTGTATATTGCCATAAATTATCAAAGAAATAAATTTCTAACATATATTATGCATATCAAACTCCTGCACTGAACCTTCATTTATAGTCAAACCAGCACTATGTTTGTAATATATTGATTCAACTTGTGCACTTTTTCCACCTTTGAGTTCTTGAAAAACCACCACAACTCTTTTCTCTCCACTGGTAAGAACAGGGCGAACAGCCAACAGACTGAGGTCTGGGAGGTCAGTCAGTCCTCATTACTCTCAGTTCCATTAAGAGACGAGATGTAATTTGTAATTTAATTGGCTTTTATAACACAACAGTTCTTCTTGCATTGTTTTCCCATCAAGAAATAGTCTGTAAGTGATTTCTTTTACAATTTAGTTTGACATTAAGTGAGAAATAAAAAAAAAAAGAAAAAAAAAAAAAGCTAATGGTGGGTTTTCTATCTCATCAGATATCCTTGTGTTTTGCCTCTGTTCTGTTGCAGCAGTGATATCTCGGAGCCATGAGGGGCCAGGGGAGATGGGCAAGGCGGTGAACATCCCCAAGGACGAGCAGGAGAAGATGAAGGAGCTCTTTAAGATTAACCAGTTCAATCTGATGGCTAGTGACATGATTGCACTCAACAGGAGTCTGCCGGACGTGAGGTTGGATGGGTGCGTAAGCTTGGGTGTCTTCCAGATGCATGCTGGGACTCACTCTACTGACCCCTTTAACACCCCCCCCACACATACACACACACATACTGCACATCCACTTTCCAACAGACCAGTGTAACACTCAGTCCTCACCCTGCTCCTCCGCTGCCTGTAAACTTTGATACCGTTCATAATCATCACACATTGCAGGGGAGCTTGGTTTCCTCTGGGTTTTCAGTCATTAATGTGTGCAAACGTGTGTATGTCGGGTTCACTAGAAACTGCTCCAGTACTCAGACAAATTTATTCGATGGCTGAGCAAGGCAGCAGGGCTTCTTCATCTTATCAAAGGAGTCTCAGAAGGGTGACAGCGATAGTGATACAAGGTGCCGCTTTTGCAGATGAAATACTCCAAACTATCAAAGCAAAGTTATTCGGATGATTAAAATAAAATCTAAACTGAGTCCATTTGATGTCATTGGTATTAATAACAGCTCTAATTATGGGCGCCGTTTCAACGCAGAATCCATCAGAACCCTCAAGTGTGTACATTAGGGTTGACATTTGAATGGAAGTAGGGTTTTGTTTACTGTCATTCAAGATCCACTTGAGCACTTAATGAAAATCCAAGGAGCTATTTGTGTGAAACACGAGCACATTCATCTTGTGCTGCTGGTATGCACAGCCATCCGCCTCTCGTGGAGACATTATCCAAGTGATTCATGTTTGAATATTCCGAGTTCTCCACAGCACTTTCATTAAGTGGAAACCAAAGGCTCTGCCAGTCACATGAAAAATAGGCCACAAGAATGTCTTTTTTTTTTTTTTTTTTTTTTCCACACCTACGTAATACGCCTATACCAAGAAAATGCCAACTCAAGATGTTCTGCAGTGTGTGGAGAGGCAAATATAAAGATCCTTTTTGCCTGCATAGTGCAAAAGAAGACCAATATTACTAAGAAAAAGTGAATGTTCAGCTGATTGCAACTCCTCCAGTTTGGTCCATTATGGCTCCATCCTCTTCTCAATATAAATATTACAGCAGCTTTATTACAGAAGACAGCTTAGCCTTGCAAAACTTCACCAGCCGTGTGGTGTAAATTATCCAGAGCCTTGCAGAATTGCTAGTCGTTGCCTCTGCAGGGCGATAACATTTTGTCTTGAAGGCAACCTCCTGGCCTAGTTGTGTAAGTCACTGCTGTCTCTTTGAATAGACAGGACTGAACTAGCAAAGCTGTCTGCTGCGATGGCTGCTTTCACCCTCCGTCACCTCCCACCATTCCTCCTCCTGCCATGCAGGCCGCTCTGGCCGTCCACATCCTCCTCCTCCTCCTCCTCCTCCTCCTCCTCTGTAACGCAGCTCATTCTTTATTCAACATCACCCACTACAGCGCCGTCCCAAGTTTGCCACATTGTCACTCTTTGGCTTTCACAGACATCCCATCAACCCAAGGGCATGCTGACATAGCTGTCAAAGCTGGTTTTGCTTTTTCTACTTTCTTTGGAGATATTTGTCAGTAAATCTCCTATGACAATGTTTTTGCAGTGGCGGCAGCATTGGGTAGCAGCATGATACACTCTGATTCTGTTCTCAGACGCTTTTCATACAAGATAATGAGCTGCAGGAATAGACAACCACTGTGACTGCAGCTGGAATCCAACACTATAGTTTTAGCCTGGGTAAGTTAGAATTGGTTAGGTTTAAGTATAAGGATACGAATTGTTACATTATGGTATTAGATTAGATGCGAATGAGTTTAGTTTTGCTGCCACTAATGATTATTTTTATTGTCAGTTTATTTTTTCGAAGAATCAGTGACACATTTTGTCGATAAAATGTCAAAATGGTGGTTATTCAAAACATCTATATTCAATTTACAGTTATATTAAACATGTGAGAAACTCTATTCAGAAAATGTTTGGGATTCTGCTCAATTAAAGGATGAATGCATGACCAAAAATTTCATTATTCATTATTTACTTTTGAAATAATTGTTATTTGTAACAATCTGTTTTTCATGAAGTCTAAAAAAAATGGTTGCCAAGCCAGGGATCGGGACCCTGACAAGGGGCCCTGAGATGAATCTAAGGGGATACCAAATGATACTTATAAGTAAATATGATAAATAATACATAATAAAAAATATCTTTTCTCTCTTGCTCTTTTTTTTTTTATTTGTCTCTAATCTTTTTATCTTTTGTGAAATACTTCAAAGTTGTAACCCTGCAGGCCTCTGAAAATTGTTGAGAAGGGAAAATAACTCTTTGATTTTAACTGCTCACATTTTCAGGTCATAAATAGACACAGATTTATTATAAGAGATCTGAAACTGCTTCACGCCTGTAGCTCACGGTCATTGCATAATCACACCTCATGTAACTTTACTTTCTTCACTTCTGCTTTACCAAGTTAGCGACCGCTGTAGCCGAAGCTAATGGGGATCCGAATAAAGAATTCTAAGTTCCTTTTATTGTTCCATCAGCTGTAAGACCAAGGTGTACCCAGACGACCTGCCCAACACCAGCATCGTCATCGTGTTTCACAACGAGGCGTGGAGCACCCTGCTGCGGACTGTTCACAGTGTCATCAACCGCTCTCCCAGACATTTGCTTGTGGAGATCGTGCTAGTCGACGATGCCAGCGAGCGAGGTTGGTAGCACACACAGTGGCTAACAAGCGGCTCACAGAACGCACAGTGTCTGATGTCTGACACACTCACAGGTTTAACTCTGTAATCAAAGATACAGGATGTAGATTTTGAAGTAAAGGCTGACGATCATGTGAACACAGTAATCAGTGTGGAGACAAAACTCACTGAGTGTAGCTTTTTACCTCAGCAACAGGGGCAGTATTGACGACAATAAATGCACCAACTCAACTGAAATGTACGGCTGCAACTAACAATTGTTTTTGTTATTGTGGTTTTAATCTGTACATTATTTTCATCATTTATCAATTAACAGTTTTTAAATTAAGCCAGAAATTACTGATGACAATCAGTTAATTGTTTCATCTGAAATACTACTAATAATAGTAGTAATAATAGAAAAAATGCTAATCAGAATTCCCCGCAGCCCAAGCTGACATATTTAAATGTTTTGTTTTGTCTGACCAGTTGTTCCAGCTCTTACTCTGCAGGCAAACGTTTGCTGGAGTGTATGCTCTTCTGTTTCAGACTTCCTGAAGAAGAAGCTGGAGAACTACGTGCGGACCCTGGAGGTGCCAGTGAGGATCCTGAGGATGGAGCAGCGCTCGGGTCTAATCAGAGCCAGGTTGAGGGGCGCGGCTGCCACCAAAGGTCAGGTCATCACCTTCCTGGACGCTCACTGTGAGTGTACCATCGGCTGGCTGGAGCCCCTGCTGGCCCGCATCAAAGAGGACAGGTAGGAGACGAAATGGACCAGGATGAATTTGTTAAAGTTAATGCTGATATTTAATGCACTAATATAACACCATGAACATATTGTACGTTTTAGGAGCAGTGCACTGCGGTACTTCAGAGCGTCTCATTGTCAATCAGTGTAAATCTTTTTTGCCTACTCAGGTTTGAAACTTGCTTTACTAACACTGGTATTATCACATTTCACTTAAGTTGCATCATTGGCTGCTTGAACCGAAGCTCTAACTGAATACTGATGGGACAGCAAACTATCGGTTATGAATACACTGTTTGAGCCTGACACAGCTTATAGGAGACGATAATCATTTTTGCATTGTCTGCTTCTGCTGCTGCCTGACAAGAAAAGCTAGTTCCAGTTACTGTAGTTGTCTCTGTGTTAACTCTGCTACAAATGATGCTCGTAGAGGTTAGAAGAGTCATGATCAAAGTGGACAAGGACATGTCTTTTCGCTTCAACAGATACATGTTTGGGGACAAATGTGACATGGCTGAGGAGGAGATCTTTCTGTTTTTTGTTATCTTTTCTTCAGCTTGCAGTGTTTATTAAACCAGATGTGTTCATTTAAAGTGACAAGGTGTTTACATGGTTGCTGTTATTCATCAGAACGTTAAACTGTTATCGGCTGTGTGTGTGTTTCTGTTCGTGTATGTGTGAGTGACATGAACGGATGGACGGATTTATAATGATTCTCTTGCAATCCATCTCTTATCTGAGGTCAGACACATTTATTTTCCCCCAGGAAGAAATTGGTATCATATGGCTCAGAATATTATGTTAAGGAGCCATTACACTTTTACTGAATGCTGCTGCACATGTATTGATGTCTATAATTCTGGGCAGAGACTGATGAGATGGTGCAGAGAGTAAACCACATGTTCCCTACAAATTCATGTGATTGATGTTACAGGTAGCTTTGTTAAATAAAACGAAGATTGATTTAGATTTGTGATATTTTATCCAATCTATCTCTATATATATATATCAAGTGTTCAATGCGATAAATTGTGTTCCACTGAAGGAAAAAAAAGGCTTCACTTCACACCTTTAATCCTCATGTTGTTAGTTTCAATTACAACGCACCTCAAATCATTGATGTGGAAAACAGCATTTTGTAGAATAACAAGATGGTATTGTATTATTATCAGAAATGTCACTAAAATCCAGTAGGCAACAGTATTGAATAATACCCAGCCCTACTATGACGGTAGTTGGAACTACTTGTAGATTTTGACACCTTGCAATGAATATATAATTTATGAAGGACATAGTCTTCAGTCTATTTTTTAATTTGAGGAATCTGGGAATTAAATAAAGACACTCTTTTGCCCATGGCCACCCCATGAGAAAGTACATGTTTTTTTCTTGCAAACATTACTTGTATGATTTTACCTTTTGCTCATCAGCCACTGCACTGTACATTTATTGAGACTAAGTGCTTTGATGACAAAGCAGAAGCTATCAGTTTTCTGGACACCGCGGCATGAAAATGCTAAGCAAATGTTGATTTTGTGGGTTTTTTTCAACATTTTGATAACTGCTGAATTTTTGAGTCATTTAATCAACTAAAAATGCCAAATATTTGCTGTTTTCAGATTCTTAGACATGATGGTTTAATGCTTGCATTGCAAACTGAATATCTTTGCTTTTTGAACAGTTGGTTGGAGAAAACAGCAACATTAGACATCTGAAGACACTGACTTCATTATTTTCATAGACTAAATGATAACCAATTAATTAAAAAGTGAGTGATTGCAACGTGAAATGATTAGTTTTTAAAAAAGGATCAAAAATGAAAACAGTAATTAGTTGCAGGCATAGTGTGGTTTCATTGGACAGTTAGTTCCTTCTGTTACTTGAGAAAGAAACCGTAAAAAACCAGAACCTGATTTGTTCACATTCAGAGAGTACTTATTTGCTTGGATGTTAAAACACAGAGAAAATAGTCATTTGCCACCTCACCTTTCCACATGATGTTTTACATTTGTTAAATCATTACATGTTCTAGTGCAAGGCTTCACAAATGTTGTATCCGAACACTGAAGCTTACACTTCATTACTCGTGTCTTTCAGGACAGCGGTGGTGTGCCCCATCATCGATGTCATCAGCGACGAGACGTTCGAGTACATGGCAGGCTCAGATATGACTTATGGCGGATTCAACTGGAAGCTGAATTTCCGCTGGTACCCTGTTCCCCAGCGGGAGATGGATCGACGCAAAGGGGACAGAACACTTCCTGTCAGGTACACACAGACAATCTCGCTCCCACTTCTGAAGCTAAATCTAGATCATCTTTGAGGGGAACTGACTTCCCACTTAAGTAATGTTTTTGATTAAGAATTAACATAAAGATGCCAGATTACACATGAAAAGAAAAGAAGCTTTTTATAAGTTCAAGCAGATGTTAGTTCTCTGTTTTTCATCTGAGCTGAGAATGGATTTATCTGTCATGGCAGCAGACTACAGAAAAAACATGGTTATTTAAATTTCTTATTCTCTTATGAAAATTGCCATTTTTATCTGCAGATAGAAATAGATCTTTTTCCTTTGTGTATCCCACTGATGCAAACAACTGCATAAATAGCATATACATGGCAGTGGTTGTGCTCTGCTGCAGTCTGTGTGTGTATGAGCTCAAAATAGACAAATAGAAACTCTGCTCACACTTGCACTTTTTGAATTCACAAAACTGGATACAATTTGTCGCCTGCATGCAAATCCTAGCAACAAACACTATTCTTAATTTAGACTTCAACATAGAATTAATTAAAAGATAAGAGTAATTACCCCTCTAAGGCTTTGTATGAAATTGTCAAACAAATTGGTCTTTTATTATACTCTAAATGTTCCTCAGAGTGACACTAAGATACTAATAAATACAGCAGGAGGAGAGGTAATATTACAAAAGAATTTTTATGGTTTTTGTCTTCATTTATTTTGTGTGTCTCTTTCAGGACCCCCACCATGGCAGGAGGATTGTTCTCTATAGACAAAACATACTTTGAAGAAATAGGAAGCTATGATCCGGGGATGGATATCTGGGGAGGAGAGAACCTGGAAATGTCTTTCAGAGTAAGTGACTGACAAAGAGGAGGGTGGTTTACAGTAGTTGGTTTGTGTTAGTGGGTATGTACACATACAATTCCCTTAATTATATCTGTGTGTCCCTCTCTCTTTTCTCTGAGCTATTTGACAAGCATCTGCACATGCACAACAAAGCTCTGATTATACTGTGTACAGATCTGTCAAACCACAGCATTTAACTGCACTTGACTCCGCAAACACTGACTATACGCTTACACCACACCTTTACAGCTGCTTATTTATGCAATTATCCAATCAGCCAATCGTGTGGCAGCAGTGCAATGCATAATATCATGCAGATACAGGTCAGGGGCTTCAGTTAATGTTCACGTCAAGCATCGGAATGTGGGGAAAAAATGTGATCTCAGTGGCATGATTGTTCGTGCCAGACGGGCTGGTTTGAGTATTACTGAAACTGCTGATCTCCTGGGATTTTCACGCTCAAGAGATTTTACTCTGAATGGTGCCAAAAACAAAAAAAGATCAGCAAAAGTGAGCAGCAGTTCCGTGGACGGAAACACCTTGTTGATGAGAGAGGTCAGAGGAAGAATGGTCAGACTGGTTGGAGCAGACAGAAAGGCTACGGTAATGTGCAGAATGTGGACGGGCTACAACAGCTGAAGACCACGTCAGGTTCTGCTCCTGCCAGCCAAGAGCAGAGATCTGAGGCTGCAGTGGACACAGGCTCACCAAGACTTGAATGGAAAAATTGTAGCCTGGATTGATGAATCTGGATTTCTGCTGAGGCACGCAGATGGTAGGGTGAACATTGAACATGCCAGGTGTGGGGAATGTTTTCTCGGCACGCTTTGGGTCCCTAAATACCAATCAATAATTGTTTCCTATGTGAGTATTCTTGCTGACCATGCGTGTCCCTTAATGGCCACAATTTATTTCATCTTCCAATGGCTACTTCCAGAATGATAATGCACCATCTCAAACCGGTTTCATGAACATGACGATGAGTTCAGTGGCCTCCCCAGTCATCAGAGTTCAATACAATAGAACACCTTTGGGATGTGGTAGAGCGGGGTATTTGCAGCATGAATCTGCAGCTGACAAATCTGCAGAAATGATCTTATGCAGTCGTGTCAACATGGAGCAGAATCTCAACGGATTGTTTCTAACATCTCGTGGAATCAATGCCACAAAGAACACAAGTATTTTTTTTAGATTTAGTTGAATCTGCTTTTATTTCTGTTTCACTTTTAAATGAATCCTTTAATACTCCAGAATATGGTTAGAATGCCTCATAATGTTCAGAAATGTTTTTTTATACTAAATGTTTGTTGGAAAGATGGAAGTGATTTAATAATAGCAAAAACAAAGTGTCATTTCAAAGTGATTGATATGCAGCATCACCTGTGGCTGAAAGAAAATGACTCATGCATAAAAAGCACAAGAAGAGTCTAAAGTGCAAGCAGCTCTGTGAGGCTGGACTGGTAAATGTTAAAATCATCTTGCTAACATTTGTTAATTAATAACAAAGCACAGCTAAGACTAATGGGAGTGCTCTTAGTTTTAGAGGTCTATGGTTAAAAAGTGATGGAGAAATTAAAATTTGTCCTGATGATGGTGCTAAAAGTGAAGGGATCGCCAGAGTTAGAGAAGTGCTAAGCTAATAGAGACTTGCAGCTTTAATTGCAGGTTGTAATGCAACAAAATGGGGGGAAAAGACCAAGTGGGATGAACACTTTCAATGCGGCACTGTAAAAACTGTGAATATTACACCTGAGTTGGTTTTTAGTATTTGCCTGCGCAGGCTATGTGGTTTTGCTCTGATGCTGTGTCAAAGCAGCGTCAAAGCAGCGTCTCTGCTGCAGCGTCCAGTGACTAACAATAAAGCAGCCTCTTGTTTCCTTGCTCCTCCTGGAAAGCCACACTGCTCTCAAAATTGTGAGAGAAAAATGTTCTTATTGGTGGCAGATTTAATCACTTCCTTTGTCACCTGAGCATCAAGGAGTGATTAACAATCAGTTAAGAGAACTGCCATGCACCTGATGTTTTGTAAGTTTGTGTTGAGTGTATTTGTTTGCTTTCTTGCCACGTACTATATAAATTTAACTTCATGTGCCTGCAGATCTGGCAGTGCGGTGGCTCTTTGGAAATCGTGACATGTTCCCATGTGGGCCATGTTTTCCGGAAGGCCACCCCATACAGCTTCCCCGGAGGAACGGGCCAAGTCATCAACAAGAACAACAGGCGCCTGGCCGAAGTGTGGATGGACGATTTCAAAGACTTCTTCTATATCATATCACCAGGTACAGAGCAATGAAACTGCCTCTGTCTGACTGCATGTTCCTGCCACGGGGATAGCAGAGTCGCACATTGAGGACGGTGCTAAAATGGCATAAATTCTTCATGTTTTAAAAGTTTCAGGGCATATACAGTAGAGTTGAGCCGGGAATTTAATAGATGTTTTATTCATTGTGCACCGCTGTTCCAAAGCAGATATGAACAATCCTCATTACAAAACTCCTCTGTGCTACTTCTGTGCTGGCCATTACATTTAGCAAATTGTGAAAAGGAAAGACTTGCCAGCTCTCCTTTATTCTGTTCTTGTCTTTTCTTGTCTTTTTTTATTCTTACTCATTTAAGAATTCTCCTTTTTACTTTGTCTGACATAGGAATTTACTGCTGCTTTTGTCATTCGCAAAGTGGAATTAATTAGTTCCTACTTTCAGTCACATTCTTAGTGTTTTCCTGAACTTGGTTTTCTCTCCAACAGAGCTCAAACACACACGGACAAACTAGAACAATACGACTATGCAGACAGAGGGATGAGTAGCCCTCCCATCTGTCGACTTAGTAATGTGATTACCCTTTAGCAGACGGCCGTGCTCCGGAAATCTCTGGTTAAGTGTTTTAGATGCCAGCCAACCTATAAGGGATCATCCGTAATCTGCCGATGTTATGGCACAAATTGCGACCTTCCCCTCCACTCAGTCAGACGGGGATTCTCCACGGGGCAAGTGTGCAGACAGAGCTGGTTTTGTGATGGATGAGTCTAACTGTGTGCTGTGGCCCTGCAATGACTGTCTTTTCCTCCAGGACATTAGGGAGAATGATCTGGGCCACGCTGCTGCCAGACCTCACTTATTGGCACAGAAGAACACAGTATGATGCTCAGGCTGAGTTTGGGAGTGGCACCGAGTGATCCTATTAAAAGTGCATCTCCCTCCTCATCCCTCCTCTGCACTGGTGATTTCAAGATCAAAGAGGCTATTCATCATCTGCAACATGTGATGCTCAGACCCTGCAGAGAGAGAAAAGGGGAAATAGAGAGCCAGGGGAGGAAGAACGGCCTTCAGCTCATTGCTTTTATCTGCCAACTTGAAATTTCTATTTCCCAGATTAAAGTGTAAGACGTTGTTAGTATTAGAGAAGGTTCTGTTTGCGTTGCGTACCTTGCGTTTGATGGATAAATATACAGCGCTGCTTACATGTTGGCTGGTTTTTGAAAATTGTACTCTATTTTCTCTCATTGCAATCGTGTTCTTTCATGATAAATTACCCCCCTGCATCTATGTACATGCAAGCTTTGAGTCCTCAAGAGGCACTCTGGGGAGAAACCATCTGCCTAATGTGTTTGTAAGTGTATGTGCCCAGTCGCGGCCTTGTCCTTCCTCAGTGTTCAGTTTCACTAAGGCCGATGCATCTTGCAGTTTCCATACCGTTAAAGTAACATACTTAATGACAAATGTATTACGCATCAATATACCATTTGTATGAATAGGATATGACTTTCCATCAAAACATTTCATAGAAAATCCTTCCACTGATGTCCCATATACACAGCCCATGTTTTCAGGTAAGGATGCGAGCTGATTCTTTATAAAGGGTCCCTCTGGTGTTTAGTTTTGGTGGTGCAGGAAAACAGGACAAAAAAAAAAAAAAAAAAAGTAAATACAAAGGTGAGTACTGACTGATGATGTGCAGCGATACATAAGTCAGAATCCTTGTCTCTGTATTTCGTCTGCAGGTGTGATGCGGGTGGACTACGGAGACGTTTCTTCCCGTAAAGCCCTCCGCGAGGCCTTGAAGTGCAAACCGTTCTCCTGGTATCTAGAAAACATCTACCCAGACTCCCAGATCCCAAGAAGATACTACTCACTTGGTGAAGTATGAGCTTTCATGTATTCTGATCTCCCATAATGCAGCAGATACGCTGTGGGTCGCTCCATCTGCATTCAGTCAGATATGTCCTTGTGTTTTCAGAAAGACAATATTGCTGCGAGATAAAGCTGAAAATCTCAGAATCCAGCAAAGGCTGAACGAAATAAGATAAAAAAAAAAAAAAAACATCCCCAGCTGTTCGCATTGAACACGCGTGATAAAGAAAAATATGCTCATGCAGTTGGTATTGATCCTAATCACATGTTTACACAGCTAAGGTGTGCATGGTAGGGAGGTGAGATTAGGCTTGTGTATACATTCTACACTGTCTGGTGGGACAGTTTTGTATTGTACAAGAGCTAAAATGAATTTTAAAACATAATTTTGTTTCCCTGTGATATAAATATATTAAAACTGTTAGAAAATTTTTCATAAGATGATTAGAGCAGAAATGGAACTACAAAGTAGTCCCCTTAGAAATTAAAAAGGGCATTGTGGGAGCTGTGTGATAATTTGCAGCTAAGGCGTGAGAATTCATAGTTAATTGTTTTCAAGATAACAGAAGTTTAAGTTCCTTTTGTTAGAGAGTTCCTACTCACATGGGAAAAAGAAGATTTTTTTTTTTTAAGTGGCCTGACTTTGCCTCTTGATGCCCACGGCTCCCGTGCTGACAGCAGTGCAGCACGGGGTAAAGTCAGAGCTGACATCCAGTGTGCTGTCAGTACAATAGATAGAGGCCATTTAAAAAGCAATGTCAGTTGAAGGACTAATGGTGAATGAGCTTGTAATCCTTCAGCATTCATACTGCTGAGCATGAGTGGATATTTTCATCCGTGCTGTTCTGCTGTACTGCAGTACCAGCTCTCTGTTTAGCTACTGCAGCACCTCAGCTCCACCGGACTTCCTGTGAGTGATTCTCAGCCTCTGTAGCACCGTCAGCCTCTCTCTTTAACAGCTGGAACCATTAGGGTTTATATCACTTAATTATGAGCGCCGTTCTGTTCCTGCATGATAGGCATAATAAGTTGCTTAGGCAACATATAGAGCCAGCACAGCTTTAGCTCTGTGGATGTATGAGCTCACGAGACAGCTGAGTTGACTATAAAGTTAGAAGGAGCTGTGATAACGGTGGTTACTCAGAACTGTTCTGGCGTTATTACTTATCTGTTTGAGCTTGTGAAGTGAAGTAGGAGAAATAGAAGTTGGATTAACAAAGAGTTAATTTAAGTTGGTGACACAGTATCTGTCATATACATACATGAGTTTAGCTAAAACCCTTTAAGTTCTTACAGTATCAGTGGACACAGAAACACATGGCGATAAACCTGCACTTTTCACCATCACTGTTTGGACATTGAACATCAGTCATGGTTGACTTTAGTAATGGGGAAAAACAGTTCTGACAGTCGCTTGGGTTTTTCTGTGACGAACTCTTCCTCAGCATCAGCAGCGTTTGCATGTCATGCAGTAAGGTGATGTCATCGGGTTGGTTAAAGTGAAGCCAGCTAGAACAGATATAACATTTGTAAAAGCAGGGCTGCAACGAATGATCACTTTCATTATCGATTAATCTCTCAGTTGCTTAGTTAAAAAAAATCACGTCGTCGAAAAAAGGTCAGAAAATAGTCAGAAATGCACTTAATAATTTACCAGAGCCCAATGTAATGTTTTCAAATTACGTGTCTTCTTTGACAAGCGGTTCAAACCCCAGAGATTTGAGATATGTTTCCTATAACTAACACACAGGATCCAAAAAATGTTTACATGAAAAAAAAACTTACTAATATTAACTGATTGTCCAACTAAATTTCTCTTGATCAACTAGTCCATTAACAAGTTAATTGTTTCCTAAATTATAATAGAAACAATTGCATTAAAGAAGAGGACAGTTGTAAACATGAGGTAACATAAAAAAAAGGGGTGTAGAAAAGATAATGCATTTTTAATGACAAATATTGAGCAGAGTCTGCATAGCTTGTTTTTGAGAATGAAAATTTTACATCACACATATTTGTTTTGTTGGTAGAACATGTAGCCTGGGGTGCTGACAAATAATACATGCACTTTATGGATTACACCCCTGCATGAATAAAACTGTAATAATTTGTAAACTTTGTACCACCAAAGTGAAATATAATGTCTGTTCAAACATATTTGAAAATTGAACGCAGATAAACTATTAACACTGTTCTTCTTGCTGGTAGATCAGAAATGTTGAAACCAACCAGTGTGTGGACAACATGGGGAGAAAGGAGAACGAGAAAGTTGGCTTTTTCAACTGTCATGGCATGGGCGGAAACCAGGTGAGGAAAGCTCAGATAAACACTTAAGTTTTGCTGTTTATTCTTATTTACTGATCTATTTATAAGTGCTGTAAATGGAATGTAGAATAAGTACATCTCTTTTAAATTAACATTCAACACGTTGAGCTTTTGATACCTCTTCATCTTGGACACATGAGCTTTGGGATTTCGCCTTTGCTAAAAAAAAACTTGATTTCAATCAGTTTGGACCAAAGTGTCTGCCAACTTTTAAATCAATCCACAGACTTTCAGCACATTTCAAGTCTGGGTTTTTTGCCAAGTGTTTCTTTCTCGTTTCGAAAGTCTATTGCTGATTTAGCTCCAAGCTGTTGGTCATTGTGACATCTTTGGCATTTAAAGGTTTGTGCCAAGAATCGTATCGGTCTAATCATTGTTCCCTCTGTTGTTCTTGCTGTAGGATATTATGTGGAGCAATCATGTAGTAATAGAAAAACACACAAAAGGGCAGTTTAAATTCTTCTTTAGAAAACACTAAAAATCATAAGCCAAGTTTAAATCAGGGTTGGCACCACATAAATCATGAAGAAATTTAGTGTAATTCACAGTAAAATAAGAATGAATATATTCAATCTGGTGATAACTCCCTATTATTTTTTGAATGCACATTGGTGAATAATGTTGGCGTCGCTGGTGCTTTTCATCTTCTGAGTGAGACGTTTTGTTTCCAGGTGTTCTCATACACGGCGGATAAAGAAATAAGGACAGATGACCTCTGTCTGGATGTCTCCCGCCTCAACGGACCTGTCGTCATGCTCAAGTGTCACCACATGAAGGGCAATCAGATGTTTGAGTACGATGCCGAGGTAGGATCCATGTTCCCCAGAGTAGCCAAATAATCCGTAGCAGGGCTGTTATTGCAGGCGGCCGTCTCTGCTTTCCTGATGGCTGATGTATTGAAAATGACTTTGATGAAATGCTGATGGATTGTGTCTGTCTGTGTCTGATGAGATTGCATGTGCAGCAGTGCACTGTGAGGATGTTGTTAGCGGGAAAGTGAGAAATTAAGTACCTATTTTCAGCCACTAGATGGTGCTGTACGCCAGTTTTTTTTTTGTTTGTTTTTTTTTTAGTAGCACAGAAGTTGAGTTGTTTTTTCACCACCCAGCAGCTGTGTCTCTCCTCTCATGTTCTCTGCTTTCACATAGTATGTTGGCAAGTGGGAGTATGATTTTGAGGTAAGCCGCATCCCTCCTGAATACTGCCCATAGTTTGTGCCTGTGCTCCCAGTATATCATGAGACCCTGTAACAGTGTGTGGACTGTGAAGTGCCAGTTTTCATTAGAGTAGATCATTTAAATCTCCATGGTGAACTAGATCTATTTTGCCAATGGGATTAAAATGAATACTAAGTGGATTTTGATCCTAATTAACAAAATGTTTTTATTTGTTTGAAAGTTTCACCGTACAGTCAACGTAAATCTACAGTATCTGCCACTTAACAATCAAACAATAAGTGGCCAAAGTATTTACACTAACGACAGGACAGATATTCAGCTTGATGGCCAGTCTACAAAAGTAAACCAAGTGTCAGAGCTAAAGGTAAAGCTGACATAATATCTTAGAAAATCAAAACAAAACAATGATTAAATCTATGATGGACATGAATGAAAAACAAATTACCTGATCCTAAAGTATTTTCATGTTGTGTGGTTCATTATAGACCTTTCGCACTCGCGTACGACACTGCTGAATTTACACTAATATACAATTTGAGAGTGGATTCATTTGTGGTACTGTAGCACCAGAATGCAAACTAAAATTAGATAAATGACAATGCCAAAAACTGCATATTAAACACCAGAGTTTCATTTTACTTAATACTCCTGCTTATGCTGTATTAGTCTTATCATTTCTGTACTCAGTCGAATGCAGAGACAGATGTTGTAAGGGCTTAGATTGAAAGCAGAAAAACATTTTGAATCTCTTAGGAAAACTCAAATATTCTCCTCAAGCCCCGCTGACTCAGAACTCAAAGTACATTGTGGTTTATACAACTCAAAAAGCATCTTTTATATTAACAATTTATGCATTTTTTTTTTCAACCACTGGGAAAGGGTAAGAAAAGATTTCACTCAATACAGTATTATTTCTCAGTGATTGAGACGTCCTGTCACTGACGTGGTTTTGACAAGATGAGGAAGCCTGGAGGCCTTTCCATCAAACCCTGAACAAAACCCTAGGAGAAACACTTTTATTACACTTTGTTCTCTGGGTGCATTCTTAATAAGGAAAAAATGAATAATTCATAAACTAAGAGGACTGGTCTCTGTTGTAAACAGCACTGGGGTTTCACCGCTGTCAGTGGTCGAGGTTATTTTTAGTCCAGGTGTGACTGTCAGGAGCTGAATCCGGGGTTACTACAGTAACGTTAACATTTCATCCGGTCATCAGTTTAATTTTCACAGGAATACCTGACTTTTCCATATTTTCCTCATGCTTTCATTCACAACCGAAACAGACGGTCCTCCCTTACTTTTTCACCTGCTCGGCCGTTTCAGCCAGAAAGAAGCTGTTTTCCTCAATCCCAGATGAATATACCACTTGCATACATTATGGCAGTCACAATTATTCTCGTTATTCGGCTATACCTTTCACTTGGGTTTACAGAGAAAGCTTTGTGTTAGTGTAGCAGAGACTGTAGTTTAGTTATCCACAGAGGAAGCTCAGCTGCCAAAATGTAAGTAAGTCTTCATTGTTTCAAGCATTGAATATTTAAACTAAGTGTTATGGTGCACAGATGTGTAGGAAACTGCCGCCATGTAAAAGAAAAGGTTGAAATTCCTGCGCACTGTCAGCACTGAATATTCATCAGGCATCACAATGTGGAACAACATTTTCATGAGATGGATGATGTAGATGGGAAATATAGAGAAAATAAATACTTGCATGATTACAGAGTTGGTAGTGTGAGGACTGAACTTAACGGTTTTTGGCTGATACAAGGCATCCATATTTGTTTGTTTGGTGTGAAGTCGGACATATCGGATATTTCAAAGAAAGCTGGAAGTCTGGAACTCATAACTGCGTGGACTCTTGATATCACAAGGATGCGGCGTAAGGCATCAGGCTGCATCAATCAATGAAAAAGGGGAATCAAATACTTAGCCAAATGTCAAAAGCCCGAGACAATTACAGCATCAGTTTAATCAGTTTTGATTTGGTAAAACAATACAACTATACAAAAACAAACAATATTTTATTAAAATGTTTATTCTCTAAAAGATTAGATGGGTGATATCAATAAAGGTTCAGAAAGGAGGTAGAGGAGGCAGATCAGACAATAACCAGAAGGCAGTGATATAAAAAAAATAAATAAATAAAAAAAAATGCTTTGCATTTCCCATCTAATTTTTTTAATAGCATATAAAAATCTATTCTTTTTACACTTTTCATTTGTATTGTACAGTTATTGGATTATGTTTGTTTCATTTTAAGAATGTTTTTTATCAATTGCTGATGTGGTAATTGTCTCCTGTTGAGATCTGGTCCCCCTTTTTAGATTTTTGCTTGTTATATCCTGTGGCTTTAGAATAAAGATGTTGTTGTTTCACACTGTGAATTCAATACCCAGCAAGGGTCCATGATCAAAATGTTGTGTCTAATAAACTGTTGAAGTGCTTGACCGTGTGCAGGAATTCAATCTTTTCTTTCACAAGCCATGAATATTTGAAATATTTCATGGTAACCCAGCAGAACAAATTGTATCTGAAGCTCAGCTGTTAAGTCCAGGTTTTGAATACCTTAAATATAACAACACATTTTTGTTTTCAACTGTCACTGAAAAAAATCACCTCTTATTAAGCTGGAAAAGTTTTTTGTTTTTTTTTACCTTAACCACCATGTGCCCCTCTCACTCACGGCTCGCCGCAGAAGCACACCTTCCTCCACATCATCACACAATCATGTCTGACCTTCAGCCGTCTGGAGGATGGCACCTACGGCCCCACGGTGGAGTACTGTAACAATAGTCCCGTGCAGGCCTGGATCCTCCACAACTACACTCGTCTGGAGGTTGCTAGACGCCTCTACTTCAGCTCCACTGATTATTTTCTCTAAGCTCCTGTCCGCTCTGGGGGAGCGCTGTAGGTCCTGAGGTGAGCAGGTCAGTACATTTTAGGCTTACAATAGAATCTGGTGGTCATTAGCAGCTCTGTAGTGACGTAGTTTAGCATTGTTAGACCTGGAAGTAGATTAGTTTGACCTGTTTGGGTGCTAATAGGCACCTCTGTAGCTGATTGTGGCTGAGTATTTCATATTGTCTTATTTTTGTCAGTGTGAACAGGTGAATGGAGAGTTTGATTAGAGTTTGTTGTTATGATCTGTCATTTATTAGTCACAATGTGCGTGCAGATTGTTTTAGGAAGCATTAAGTAGCTTTTACTGGTGACCTTTCAGGGAGAAGGCATGAAGACAAGGGCGGAAGCACATCAAGCAATGACAGATGTCCCATCAAGATGGTTCTGTGTATAAGATGCTATCTGCGAGACCTTCATGCCAAATTAGATCTCATTTGGCATTTATTTTCCAGCATAAATATTTTATTTTGATGGGAAAATTCACTGGCTGTCCCTTGGACTGCTAGCGCTTAGTGAATGATGCCTGAGATGGAGGAGGACGTGTTTATTTTTAGCTGATTATCTACATGCAGAGCTGAATGAAATGGGCTTGCCATTGTTTACAAGTTCTTTTGAAGTGATCCTTCATTGTGAACCTACCTTTCATGGCCCTGGCCTCTCAGGCCACTCTCCTATTGGCCTGAAGCAGCTGTGCACACTGTGTGCCATGTACATATTGTAAAACCAATGAATCCCAATTATCAGTGCTTTTCACCACTCTGCCTGCTTATTTACATACTTTTGTGAGGAACTTTTTTTTGGCCCAGCATTTCTGTCCGTTTCAGGGTTGACGTTTTCTCTGCCGTCATGTTCGTTCTGCCGTGTTATCTGCAGTTTGCACCTCAGACTCCTGTACCGTTGTATCTCTCAAAAAAGCTAAAGAGCAATTTCACTGTAGCATGCCACAGTTGTTGTGTCCAAGCGGGGTAAATTGGGTAAGGAGCTCCCGGGGCTGCTGGTGTGTGTCAGAGTTACAGCAGTAAAGTGACCTGCTGTTAGATGGCCTGATTTGCTGTTCACACTCAGGTCCTCGTGGCATAGCCAGCATAAAGGGAGAGCTCATACACAAGAGCAGGGCAGTATTAGAGTAAATGAGATTGTTCCCTGACTCTGCCTTGAGACAAAAGGAATTTGCTGTTTTTTGTATTCCCCACAAAAATCAACTCAGCCCTTTAGATTTTCTTCCACCGTCGGCACAAGATCATGTCAAACAGGAGCTCTTTTGCCTTTCAGCAAGTCCAGTGTGCTGCCTGGTGACAAAGAGGATAATGTTCCTCAACCAGGGCTCATGGTTAGAAACCATCCTCATTTAATTAGCTGGTCTCAGCTGTGCACACACTCAGCGACTTGCTCCGGAGACACTGGTTGGTTTGCTAGGAGGCTGAGATGGGAGTTTTCTCTGCCCCAAAGGAGGCATGAAATAATTATGAGCAAAGGACAGGACCTCCACATTTCTAGTATTTTCATTAAATGTGGATAGTTTTTTCTACCCCCTGCCGTCATGCCCCTCTTCTCTCATCTCTGCCAGCAGAGTAGGTTTGGATCTTTGAATGAAAAAAGAAATACTATTCTCATTATTGCCTAAGCCAGGTTCTTATGATTTATAGATTAGCTCTACCGACAGCTCGGAGAGGCTCTATGTATGAACAAGCCTTTACAGAGAAGCATTTGTTGGTTTCACAGCTTGTCATTTGCAAAATATACAAAAAAAATGATTTTTTTAAACAGTCAGGATTAAGAGATTTCTGATTTTCGTCACTTATCCTTAAAACTGTAGGCTTAACTCTACCATTGTCTTAAGTTGTAGCAGTCTTTTAAAAATATTTTTTAATAAAGCAAGAAAAGAAAAATGTCTCTGGAGTAGTGCTACCTTATTGTTCTTTTCTTTAGCTTTTTGGCAGGTGTGTAAGAGACGGACGCCACCTGCTCTCTTTGTTCTTGGACTGTTTGAACAAATGTGCCCTGTAGGGCAGGCTGTAATGTGTACTTCAGGAAAGGTGTGCATGTGTGTGTGTATGTGTGTGTGCGCGTGTACTTCTTTGTAACCAGGCAGAGAATGTCAAACCCTTGTGTTTTATAGCTTAAGGTCAAACATGGCCTCAGCGTCTCTGTTTGCTCATTAGTCTGAATATCCTCTGTCAACAGTCAAAGCACAATCTTGTTTTAATGAAGAATTATATCTCAGCCACAGGATGAAATAATTATGCCAACGTACATGTCTTAATGTCACACGCTGAATCTGGTTTGTAGCTGTTCTTGTGCATTATCTTTCATGTTTGCTCCTCGTGTTTAGTTTGTCAGTTGCTGCCAGATAACATGGTGCAAACTTTCTCATATTGTGATGAGTTCTCTTTCAAAGGCCCCTACATTTACATACGTTATTACACTGTATGGTATCTTTGTAAAGTAGCAACCCAACATAATTTTCCCAGTTCCTCTCACAACATTGTTTTCCTCACCAACAAACTCCAAGTCCTCTGCTACTGCATGCGATCATTAGGGACAAGATAAGGAGCCAAAGTGAGGATTGAAATTGCGGAAGCATGTTAACTTCTGTGGGACTGAACATAAATGGTTAATCAAGGCCATTGAGAGCTCTTTTGGAGTTGTTAGTGGGGGGGGGGGGGGGGGTTTATCTCTGGAGTCCTTGTGGCAGATAGCCACAGATTTCTGTGCTACATGCTCATGTGGTGCTTGAGTTCAGCTCATCCCAACAGGTGTGTTTTTTTCCAGTCTGGACATTTTAAAAGCACTTGTACTGTCTTCTGGCTTCTCTGGTTTATGTGACTGAACAGTACACAGACAGGACTGACAGGGGGGAGGAGACAATGTGTGGAGCGGAGCAAGAGATACATTTGAGCTCATATTGTGGTGAGGACATGGTTTGCGTCTGCAGAATAAACTCTAAAAATAGCATGAATGTTTGATGTCAGAACTGTTTAAATCTAAAGATTAAAAGCTAATCCCCATGATCTGACATAGCTAAGCTCCTATTTATTAATTATTGATTATATTGCTGAAATAATGAAAGGATGTGTTGATGTGTCAATCAACCGCAAATGAGTCAACTCACATTTTGATGAGCAAGACTAAACCATTACTCAGACAGAAGCTCAAACTGATTCTTTCTCACAGCAGACATTTAGTCAAATCCTTAATGTTTACCAATAGCATTAACAATGGCATAACAGGAGCAAGTATCCCTCTAAGCACATTACCAGGTCCCTGGCATCATTCATTTCATCATTTACCTGTGCTTTTCCTACTGTGACATGTCAAAATGTCTTCCATGAAGAGGGTCATGGTCACCTGAGCTGAATCAGACAGATCCTTGCACATCTCTTCTTGTGGTCAGTTTAGTCAATATATGACAGAGGAAATATGTGGCCTTAGGATGTGTGCTCTAGTGTCTCTGCTCTTTTGATCTCAAGGGTAGAGTCATCAAAACGATCCCAGCGGATCCAGCAGCAAAGTTACTTTTGCTTTTAGCCATTTGTGTGCCCATGTCTGTTGCTGCTGTGTATAGTCAACATGATGTAGCAGTGTCATTATGTGGGTACATTAAGACTGATACCAGCGTTATGAATAATAAAATATGGCAGCCTTTTTTATGGGTGTTTAAGAGAGTGTGATGTTGCCTTTTGTCCTCTTTTTTGCTGATTTGTAAAATTTACCAAAAAAAAAAACAAAACTCCAAGCTATTCATTTCCATCATAAGCTACATGATACACTTTATTATTGGACTGTTATCTTTTTTAACCTTTCATTTTGGTGAAATGGGAATTATATAATTAGAAACAAGAGGAAGTATTCACCCATAATTTCTGTGCTGAAAAGTCCTCTTCATCCAGGTCCAATACAGAATGTCTGTGCAGAGGTCTAAGTTCTTAGAGCGAATGTTTGAGCAAACGCTTCCCTACTTGGACATTTGACAAAAACACAATCACAATTCTCCCGTTGTGGGCTTCTGTCCCGCCACCTGACTGTACTTCCATGTCCAATATTTACTGGCATTTTATCCCCTGTTTAGCCTGCCAACTCCTGGGAAACTGTTCATTTGCTCTGGCGTCATTAACCACTTGTTCACTTTGTCTCTCGACCATTTCATGCAGGGCAGGGAGCATAAAATCGGTTTGCAGACCAACACATTCAGCTGAAAGTAACTGAAAGCTACAAAGAGGGGTGGTGGTGATTTTTAGTGGAATTGGCACCTAAACATTAGGTGTTGGTTTCAGTCCCTCTGAAGCAGAGAAAGCACTTCTTTTTTCCTTTTTTTTTTACATTTTGATGCTTCTGATGCTCAAGAGTCAGTTCACAAAGAAATCCCTCCTTTAATGTGGCAATGACAACCAACCTCTCCTCCATCAGAAGCCTCAACTCTCCCAAGCCGCCTCACCGTATGCTGTGTTATATAAGGGGCAGGACTCTTGTCTCTTTCCTGACTGGAACATCCTGCTCTCTTGATGTACCTTTTGTTTTTTTTTTCTTGCCCCAGCTACAGTTACTGAGTGCAACAAACTCAAGCTCTTTACTGGGTTGAAAGGTATTTTTGTGAAATATGGGAAATCAGTAGCTGAAGTGTGTCTGTGAGGTTCATCTTAGTCATCAGCTGTGGTGGACTCAGCTGTGTCTAGACAAGGGTTGAAGTACAGTCGATAAGACAGGTTGAGGAAAGTTGAATAAGGTAAACACTAAAATAACACAAATGATGGCACATGGTAGGTTGATTTAGGCTGATTGTACAGTAGGGAGATGTATGTATTCAAAAATTGTATTTGTGTCATGTCTGTATATTCATATGTAGGCCATATCTACAGAGTGACATCTATGTAATTCCCTTTGTCTTTGTCCATCTGTCTCCAGCGACTCACCCTGCTGCATGCAAACAGCAACCAGTGTCTGGACATGCCGTCTGAGGAGGACAAGATGGTCCCCACCTTGAGAGACTGCAACGGCAGCCGCTCTCAGCAGTGGCTGCTGCGTAACATGACCCTGAGCGTCTGATCCCTCACCTCACCTCTCCCCCCTCCACCACTCTGTCCTCATCCTAACCAGTCCTGGCTCTCCACACCCTCACCAGGTGGCTCTTACCTCGCACATCATATGCCTCCCCCTGTAACAGCCTGGCCGGCAATTACAAAATATCCAGGCAGCAGTGGCTCCATTATGGAGGCATCTCCTCTTACTTGCTCGCCACGGGTGTGAGAGAAGCTGCACCTGCAATTCAGGCGACATGACGAGCCGTAGCTTTGGGAACCTCGTCGAGTCCAAGCAGGGAGAACGATGTGTCAGGTCTGTGCATGGAGAACATATCAAAGCGCTCACACTGTGTCGGACAGCCTCTAGCCGTGCATCCACTGTGGCTGCTCAGACTGCTGCTTAGCTGCTGGACAAACAATTAAACAGGAGCATCAATAACAAGAATATTGCAAAGCACGTCTGTGCACTGGTGTGCACTGTAAATTACCTTCCTTGTGCAGTGTACATGCAGCGCATTTGTGTCTACTGTAGGTACAATCATAAAACAAGACTGTTGTCATGACTGCTGCTCATCCTCTTTCCATATCAGTGTCTGAGTTAGATTGAAATAATGGGAAAGTGATGTTAATAGAGTCTGACCAATTCTGGATTTGTCAGGCCATTACCAATGTTGATTTTATTTTATTTTATTTTTTCTGTTAGGCTAAAAAAACCTAGACAACCAGATCTCAGCTGATATTTGTTTTTAAAGTTGAACTGAAATTTGTATTGTCATCACATTTGGTGTAAGGGAACTTTAAATTATAATGTTACTGAAGCTACTGTGCATTTATTTTTTCCCTTTTTTTTAAAAGAGGATTAACTAAAAATCTGCTGTGTGGCCGTTTCCCCTGGCAACGGTTGACTGACTGCATTGCTAGGAGACACACTGTCAACCTCTGTGGTGTGTTACTGAGTGGATAACGTCATAGCCCTGTATAGCCTACTACCATTTACCGTAGCATTAACTAGCAACTGTTAGCAATTTAAGGCGTCTGTCTCTTTTACACCTTTCAACATTTGGGAGGACCCACTGTGGAATGTGGAATATGAAGTTTGTATTCCACTTAGAAAATGAAAGTTAAGCAAGCTAGGCTAACAGGCTTCCACACAGAAAGCTAGTTAGACTAGCTTGCTAATGTTTTCACTGATTCCTGCTAGATACATTCATGTTATCTCTTCTTAGCAAAAATCAATTATTATTTCAGAAACATGAACAAACAACATTTTTGTATGGATCCTTTAAAATTTAAAGGAAACTTTAAAATTGTGAACAAAATATGAACTAAATTGTTTTGCAGTTTCCAGTAGAAAAGCTAAGTACTTCTAAATCACTGCAAATGTATCTTGACATTTCTGACCTGCAATTTCTTGTTTGATATTGGCCGGTTTATTGGTCAGGCTCTAGTTGTTAATTTCTTGAGATGTTGGGATAAAAATAATTATGAAGATTTCAAACCATCATCTACAGAAAATGAATACGAGACAGGAGTGCAGCTATAACAACCTCCCCCTAGAAAAAATACTGGAGTAGTTACATAATGTTTCATAATAGTGAAACGGGAATAACAGTATGGTACAGATGAAAATTTGAGGCAGCTCTCTGGATCGACAGATTACATACTGTACTGTATGTTTATTTATAACCGGCTGTTTGAAGAAATAAGTGGCTAGGGGGAAGGAAGTAGCAAGTAATCAAGACCGCTCTGAGTAGATGTGATTGATTTTGAATGAATGTAAGAATTTTCCCTAAATGACAACGTCTGTATACCGAAGTACTCTAACTGCACTGTGTTATCACAGCTGTCTCAGAGCGTCATTACTAAAAACACACACCACCTTTATCAGTTCCTACAAGATTTCCAACTCTTGTACTAAGACCCTCTTCTTTTTAATATCATGAGAAATCATGATGTCTTGGAGCTGAATAGTTCCGTGTGCCTTTAGAAAGTTGTGTTTTTTTTTTTTTGGTTTATTGGTTTTTAGATTATTTAATTATTTTGTTGTTGAGAGAAGAAGAATGTTAAGTCTGTTTTCATTTGAGATAAGGTACTACAGCATACTGATGTTAATAATTGTTACATCTCATGAGTTTATCACTGTCATATTTATGCTTGATCAAATGTTTAGTTATCCATTAATAGTTAAGCAGGTCAATATTCAGAATCAATATTCACCCATCACCCAAGCAAATGTGACAGGTACTTTTCACTATATTGTTGTCTGGGATCAGGCAACAAATGTTATTGTACATAATGACGTTAACATGTTTCTATCACCATTGTTGTTGTTGTTGTACATACAGAACCAATTATTTTTCTAAGATGCTGTAAAACTTGAACTCTCCTCAGAGAAAAAGACATTGAATGGTAAAAAGATCACGAGGTATTGCAGTGTGTTATTTAGAATCGAGGTAATAAAAACCAGTGCTTACCTTGGGTTTTGAAATTGCGGTGTGTTTTGGAAATCATCATCGGTCCCATGAAACCAATTCTCACACTACCTAAAGGACCTTAGGCGAGTATACACAAGGGAGCAACTAATGGTGAAATACTATCAATGCTGCTTGAATACTGAATCCTTGCCAAGTGCCTGCTTGGCATTCAGACTAAAATTCAATCACCTCTTTCGTATTACGCGCACACATTTATTGTTTTTCATTATCTTAAAGTGCATGGTGTTAAAATAGGAATGTAATGTTTCAATGTACTAGTTGCAAAGTGATAGTGTTTTCCTGTTTGTACATTTTGCCTTTTTTTTGTAGAAAAAAATAAATAAATAAAACATCGACTGAACGTAGAATTTGCATTAATTTCAGTGTCAAGCAATTGATGAAAATGTGAACACAAGCGCATCACACCAACCCATCTGTTGTTTGATCAACCTTGCTCTTGAAGCTTTTAAGACCCCCATACATCTCATTACCAGGCTCCATTCAATATGTTTGCTTTTAGAGGTGGTTAATTGCAGCCTTTCTTCCATGGTGACCATTAGGGGACAACACCTGTACAACAAAATGCCATAAGAACTACATAGCAATGGATGTTACCTTCCCTCTTTTGTCCAGGATGTGTAAAGGCATCTGCCATTGTCACCCGATGAAGGTACTTCTGACACAGCTCATTATTCTGTGTACATTTCAGCAAGGAAGGCTTGACCTTTCAGGTGACTCTGGCTTTGTTAAAATCTGAGAGGAAAAATTACTCTCCCTGAATGGGACACAGGAAAAAAAGGAAAGCTAGAAGGTCAATGGAGGGTAATGGAGATGGAGAACAGGGAATATCAGACTGAGACCCAGCATTGTGAATATTGAGCTAATGATTATTTTCATATTTTTTTGATGTACTGAATCATGATAAGTCTAAGAAATGTTGTCATTACCATTTCCCAAAGTCTCACATAGCATGTTTAAATGGCTTGTTTTGTCCAATCAAAAGTCCAAAAAAACCCCAAAAGATTTAATTTTCAGTGATATATAATGGAAAAAAATTGGTGTTTCAGCTTTGAAAATTACTTAAAACATTAATTTGATACCAAAATTGTTGTTCAGTTGATAAACTGATTTGAGTTGAGTTGATACCACTTTCATGTCTGTATGGCCCACTACAGCCACCAACCAGTTAGTTTAGCATTAATACTGTTTATGCTAAGAGTTTAGCATTAAGACTGGAAACAGGGTGAAACAACTAGCCTGTCTCTGTCCAACCTATATGGCAACCGTGGCCTGTAAATTTAAAGGATAACATGGTAATTTTTATATGTTAATTGGCGAGCTATAGAGATGCTGGTACTGTAGCTGTTTTTTTTATCTTTGGATAAAGTCATGATAGTTGTTTCTCTGTGTTTTCAGTCTTTATGCTAAGCTAAGCTAACCAGCTGCTGGCTACAAGCTTCGCATTTAATGGGCAGATATGAAAGTAGCTACTCATCTAACACTCGGCAAGTTAGCAAATTATCAAATTTCTGGAAATTTCTTAATGAAATAATTGTTTCAACACCAGAATATTACAAAATTATTTGGACTTTTAATCATCTAGAAAAAGTGAATAACTGTTAAGCAAATTGTTTTATGGCAGATATTAATGAATGCAGTTTGCATTCAAAAGGACATAGGGAGAAGTATTCCCTTTTTAATAACTCAAACTCCAACTGCATTTTTTTCATTTCCTTCGCTTAAGCTTTTTAATAAATATTTGTAAATCTCTCCAAGGTAGCCACTGCAGAGGTATTAATAGCAGCTGTTACAGAGCTGACAACACATCAGTGCCTCACCATATTCTCAGCAGGGGCCCTGTGGGGACTTAATGCAGTTTCAGACAGCCTCACACCTGTAGGAAGCCGAACCCAGGCTGGTTAACTGGGCCTGTGAGGATAAGATAGGTCTGTGGCCTGGCCAGGGGAGTCCATTAAGGGGTGAGATGCTTTAAAATAATAACCCTAATGGAGGCTTTATCTGTAGCTATCTGTGGCTTGCTGTGGCTCTCCAAGGCAGAAAAAGATCAGAGCTTCTCACCATGGATGCTGCACAGTTCTCAACTACATAAAGCATGGGCTCATTTAATCTCAGGAAATATAAAACTCTGGCTCTAGAGACTTGGGACCATATTACATCCTGTCTAATCTACCCATTTTCTTCAATTAAGCCCTTTTATTCTTGAAACTATTTGTTTGAACAATTTCCTCTTGTTTTTAGCTTCAAAATGTTCATAGGCTCTTCTTTCAGTTTAAAGATAGCATGGAATATAATACTATTTTCATGTTTGACCTCATTGAATCAGTGAAACACTAAAATCAGTGCATACAAAAGCTATAAAAGTTTCTTCACAATGCTTTACACTCAGTAGCCAGTTTATTAGGAACACAGAGCTAAAACTAATGCAGTAAATCGTCCTTTAATGACAGTTTTGATGTTGTCAAGTGGCTCCCAACTAACTGTAAAGGGGGTGGGCTCACAAGGTAAATCTGAGGGATTGTGAGATGATTGGAAAGAGAGAAAAAAAACAAAAACAAAGTTCTACTCAACAAATTTCAAATTTGTAGTCTTTTTTTATTGTCCCCAATCTTTGCTTTTGTTAGGGTTGAACAATTCAAAAAATTTTGCAAATCTTGAATCTTGAATCTGAAATCTATAATGAGGGGCCCCAAGTGTACACTGTTTTTTGTAAGGGGTTTTGTATTGTATTTTATACGATATTAATCTGAATAGTAGTAACTATAGCTGTCAGATAAAGACAGTTGAGTAAAAAGTACAATATTTCTCTCTGAACTGTAGAAGAGTAGAGGTTAAAAATAACAAAACAAAACATGAAAATACTCAAGTACAAGTACACAAAACTATACTTGAGTACAGAAGGCCTACTTGAGTTAATGAACTTACTTCCCACCACTGACATAAAAGTGCAGCGTTGGTGTGGATTGTGGTTTTTGTGCCAAGTGATCATTTAGAAGCAGATACACCATAAGACCAACAATGCTGGCTCAAAGTCCATTGGTACAGTGAACAATTGTGGGCAGAGCACACAGCCGTGTTGCAACGACCACAAGGCAAAGACTGTGGTTTGTGATGACTAATTTGTAATGTATATGTATATGTGACAGGATATGTTTGTAATATGCACGGGTCGGCGCCAGGGGGGGGGGGGGGGGGGCCCCCCCGAACGGAGGATCGCCCCCGTGTCTGGAACTGTGACCACAGGGCTGGAGGCCGGAGGTGAAGATAAGCTTCCGGTGAAAACAGATCCAGCCCCTGATGCAACGCCATTCTCCGTGTGGATGCTCTCCCAGGGGCCTTGGTCCTCTGAGATGTGACAGGAATCCATTTTGGAGATGGGTGGCTGCGGTGGTGGGTCACCCTGCAGGTCAGAGCTCCTGGTCT